AGGTACATTGCTTACAATATAACCGCTTATTGCCACATGCAGTTTTGACGATTGATAAATACCAGATTTTTTACCATTATATTGATTGATTTATAACTCTAGAGTATATAATTTTACTTTAAGCATTTAAATTGCTATTAAAAAATCAGAATAGTCAAAAAGTCGTCTTTATTTGTACACTGTACGATATATATCGTAGGAACAATTAATAGACCGATGAATATTAGATTTATAACAAAAATAATAGAAATATGGTTAACATTAATTAGATTGAATACCTGATAACTATTGGGTTAAATTATTGATAAATTAATTTATGACTGGATTGATTGATTGATATTAATTGATTAATTGATTATGTATTAATTGAATAATTGATTAATTGATCAATTGACATATTGATTAATTGATTAATTGATTGATCAATTACTTAATTGATTAATTGATTAAGGATCCGAATCGAGCAGATGATTGTGATCTTTCACAATGTCAGCTGCCAGACTGCTTCTGTTCACCAGATGGAACCAGGTAATCAGCTGTTTTATCACCAGATAGGACCAGTTAGTCAGCTATTTTATCAGCAGATATATGGACCTGTTATTCAGCTGTTTATCAGCAGATAGGACCTACTAACCAGCTGTTTTATCTCCGGAAATCAGCTGTTTAAATCAGCATAAAGACCTAAGTTATCAGCTGTTTAAATCAGTAGATAAGACTAGGAAATCAGCTGTTTTAATCAGTTGATCATCCGTCTAAAATCAGGTTATAGAGCCGGATGATCAGCTGTTTCAAATTAGTTGATTGATCCAGGTTATAAATGGGGCCGGTTTATAAACCAACGTGAACCGCTGTTTTAATTAGCTGTTGGAACCAAGCTATCAACTATTTTAATCAACTATAGGGACCAGGAAATCAGTCATTTCAACGAATCTTTATCTGTCAATGCTACTTAGCTATAAATTCATAAGCGGATAAAATAAATAATACAATAAAACCAAAGATTATTTTCTCCAGAATTCCGGGAAACCTCGAGAAAGAAAATGTTCCACAAATGATAACGATCACGTTTAATGGAGCTGTTAATTCAGATAACTTGGACCTTTATCAGGTACAATTCTAGCTATCTACTATCCTAGCTATCTACCATTCTAGCTATCTACCATTCTAGCAATCTACCATCCTAGCTATCTACCATTCTAGCTATCTACCATTCTAGCTTTCTACCATCCTAGCTATCTACTATCCTAGCTATCTACCATTCTAGCTATCTACCATTCTAGCTATCTACCATTCTAGCAATCTACCATCCTAGGTATCTACCATTCTAGCTATCTACCATTCTAGCTTTCTACCATCCTAGCTATCTACCATTCTAGCTTTCTACCATTCTAGCTTTCTACCATTCTAGCTATCTACCATTCTAGCTATTCTACCATTCTAGCTTTCTACCATTCTAGCTATCTACCATTCTAGCTATCCACCATCCTAGCTATCTACCATCCTAGCTATCTACCATTCTAGCTATCCACCATCCTAGCTATCTACCATCCTAGCTATCTACCATCCTAGCTATCTACCGTCATAACTATCTACCGTCCTAGCTATCTACCATCGTAGCTATCTACCATCCTAGCTATCTACCATCCTAGCTATCTACCATCCTAGCTATCTACCTTCCTAGCTATCTACCATCCTAGCTATTTGCCTTCCTAGCTTTCTACCATCCTGGTTATGTAACATCCTAGCTATCTACCATCCTAGCTATCTACCGTCCTAACAATCTACCATTCTAGTTATCTACCATCCTAGCTATCTACCATCCTAGATGTATACCTTCCTAGCTTTCTACCATCCTAGTAATCTACCATCCTAGCTATCTACCATTCTAGCTGTCTACTATCCTAGCTATCTACCATCCTAGCAATATACGTTCCTAGTTTTTTACCATCCTACCTATCTACCATCCTAGCTATCTACCTTCCCAGCTTTGTACCTTCCAAGCTTTCTACCATCCTAGCTATCTGCATATGAAGCTACCTACCTTCCTAGCTATTTTCCTTCCTAGCTATTTATCTTCCTAGCTATCTACCTTCTTAGCCATCTACCTTTCTAGCAATCTACCTTTCTAGCAATCTACCTTTTAGCTATTTACCTTTCTAGTTAACTATCTCACTAGCTATCTAACTTTCTTGTTAGCTTTCTGTCTAGTTATCTACCTTATTAGCTATCTACCTGTCTAGTTATCTACCCCAATAGTTATCCTGCTTTCTAGTTATCTACCTTATTAGCTATTTACCTTTCTAGTTATCAACCTTACTAACTCTTCACCTCTCTAGTTATCTACCTTATTAGCTATTTACCTTTCTAGTTATCAACCTTACTAACTCTTCACCTCTCTAGTTATCTACCTTACTAGCTATCTACCTGTTTACCAAAAAACCTGTTGCAGGATCTCTTTAATGGAAAGCGGTTGAACCCAAATGGTTGTACTGTAAAGGGAAGTTTCTTTGTGTCTCACAAGTACACAAACTATTCTGCAGTACAGGTACATTGCTTACAGATTTATGATTTCTAGCATTTAAATCTAAATATCATAAATCCCAAGAATATCAGTTCAAAAGGGATTATACACCAAGATGTTCTATATTACATTCAAAATAAGCCTTTTACATAATTTAGAACTTTTTGATCAAATAAAACCAATAATACTGGTAACATAAATATAAACATTCTTCTAACTATTTAAGAGTATTCGAAAAGAATTTTCATCAACGCCATCATCACTACTGTGGTACTTTAGCAGAACAAATGTAAGAATTATAAATGTAATAATGCTCATAATAAAACTTATTGTTGATGACCTCATTATAAATTCCTTGATGGGTTTAATGATTATCTTCTTCAAAAGTATTGGATCAATCATTGAGTGAATCTGTTTTATCTCCTCATGTTGTTCCTCTAAACCAAGTACAACTTCTGATCCTAGAGATAGCTTAGGATTCTTCTTAAATTGAACCCTGGAAGCTGTTTCTTGGATATTAGATAGGTCAGGTTGTGTTTTATTGTTGTCTGTTGAGCCCTCCACAACTGACACATCCATGGAGAGTCTGTGTTTCCAATTCTGTGTCTTTTTAACCCTTTCGTTCTCAGTTGAAGAGATTTTCTAAATATTAGAGAGTTTAGAATATAATTCATCATCCATTGATATTATTAATAGTTCCTCTTCAGTGGCGGACATAAGGGGGGTTATTGGGGTTATTTATTAGCTGAAGGAAATACTTTGATATCAGAGGATTTAGACAGAATGTCATTGTTAATTGTTGAGCTTTCTACAATTTCACCTTGTAGGGAGACGATATGATTCTTAGTCTTTTTAACGCTAACATCTTCAGTTAAAGGAGGTTCCTGAATATCAGATATGTTAGTTAGGAATTCATTGTTGCCCATTGAGCTGTTTATAGGTTCCCTCTGTAAGGAAAGCCTACATTTCTTAATCTGATTAACATTTACATTTTTAATTTAAGGAGTTTTCTTAATTTTAGAGAGTTTAATCTGTAACTCATTATCCAATGACCTAATTACAGTTACCTCTTGAAGGAAGAGTCCTCCCTTTGTTGTCTTTATAACCCTTTCAGTGGGAAGAGAAGTTCCCTGCATATAAGACAGTTTAGACTGTGTTTGAATGTCTGCTAAACTCTCAACAGTTGTTTCTTGTTTACAGTAGAGGTGATTATTTGCTAACCTTATAAACCTATCAGTTAATGGAGTTTTCTGGATATCAGTGAGGTGAGTCTGGAACACATAGTCCATAGAGTTTTCTTCAGTTGCCCTTTTTAGGGATAGCTTGGGTTTCTTTATTTCTTCAAACCTTTCATCTTTAGTTGAAGAGGTTTCCTGAATATTACAATAGTTAGCACATGTTTTAATGTTCGTTGAGTTTTTTACAGGTTTCTCTTGTATACAGGAGAGTCTACATTCTATATCTGTATCATCTTCAGTTAAAGATGTTTTAAAGAGGTTTGTCTGAAATTTAATATCCACTGAGTTTTCTACCACCTCCTGTTGAATCACAACTTTTGTCGCTGGTGTTTTTGTGCTTCGTGCAGCGTATTTTAATCTTCTGAACAATCTGACTGTATATATTACAACCTTGATCACTTCCAACAATGAAGACACAATGAGTATTGCTGTAGGTATGAGGAACTCAAAACACTCTAATTCTTCAGGTAGACTGTTCCATGATGAATTACTCATGGATTGATTTAAAATACCAAATTCAATTCTTGTATGTAAGATGCTCATAGTGGAGTAATTTGGTGAGTGAGTAACTAAGCATCGGACATGATTTAACATTAAATCTAATATTATTATCACAATGATGAATGTGGCCGAAAGTTTTAGGCACATTTTTTGGTTAATGCTTTGGTAGTAATCTGGGCTGGCAATAAGCACAAATCTAGCAGCAGATAGTGTCAACAGATACCCACATATACAACATCCTACAGGAATGTTGTTCATTACATATTTGGCTATTTCTGGGTAGTTAGAATAGAAGCTGTTCAAACTTTCATGGGCAATATTTGTGAGAAGACTGAGTGTAATGATTTGGATAATTCCAACCTCTATGGCCACCAAGAACTGAATACAGATTCCACCAAGGATGGACTGCTGAGGTTGTCTTACCAGAAATGCTTGAAGTGTTACACAGGCAGTAAAGGATAGAATTGAGCTCAGTACATCTACTGTAAGAGTATAAGAGTTTGGATTGTTTGGCACATTTGCTGCAAAGCAGCAGTATGATGTTGCAATCAGCCAAATACAAAGATTTTCCCAATTCATCTTGCAGAATTGAAAGAATTTACTAAAACAGCTTGAGATGTGGGGCTGGTAAAGACCTTCCTGTATCTGACTTATAATTACTCTCAAAACTTAATCCTCTTCTCTCATTCAGAGAAAAATAAGAGAAAACCAATATTTATCAATTTAAATTTATACTTTCTTGTCAATCATTTATTTCTTATTGGAATATTGACAGACTATGCAGTTTACTTTTAAATTGTTTTCAAATGGTATATTCCATATTTACAAAGATAATGATAGAATTTGTATAATGTCGCCCTGACAGGTATTTAGTAAACATTATATAAAAGGTTCAGTAAAGTTGTCTGTTATCTTCCAAGTTGTCCAAGATGTAATGTTCTAAACATCCGTAGATATTGATTGTAAATATATTGTATGACAACTTTATCTAATCCAGGCTATACTCTAAGGTTTCCAAGCCGAATTCCGTTGTGCGGAATTACTGTTCTCGTTTTGCGCGGATTGTGCGGAATTGCTAGGTAGTTATACGCCCCGCAAGTTAAACCCACTTGCACAGGAAAACCTGATAATTTGTGTATAGAACCAAAAGAGTAGATAAATTGATTATTTGTTTGATTTCTGATTTTTAGGAACTTCACAGACAAGGCCATGAAATTGGAGTGTTTTCAATTACTAACAAGTAAGTTTTTATAAACACTAAGAGAGTATAATTTTTGTATCATCTAATTTCTAAAATAAAAGACAAGACAGAAAATTAAGAGGATAAAAAAAACATTTAATCAAGAAAAAATGTGGAAAATTGTTAAAAATGTTCAAAACTAACTTATGAAAAAGTTTAAAATTTATAGAACATTTGTCTTCTCCAAATGATAAATTCGGAAGGGGCGATGTGAATATTGAAATGTTCTGTTTTTTAACTGTTTATCTAGAATTTTCATTGATATACATTATACAATGTATGGTTTTGCAAGCATTCTATATTCTCTTAGATTTCTCCGAAGAATTAATTATGATCTCAGAGAAGAATTAATTACATTCAACCAAGTGTTCTCATAAAAGAATGTACTGCATAACAGTAAGTGTAATGTGTAACAGTAATTGTGTTGTAAAACTGTGATGTACTTTAAAGCAGTAATTGTACTATGAAACAGTAACTGTACCGAATAACAGGAAGTGTACTGTAAAACAGTAAGTGTACTGTAAAACAGTAAGAGTACTGTAAAACAGTAAGTGTACTGTAAAACAGTAAGTGTAATGTAAAACAATGAGTGTATTGTAAACAGGAAGTGTACTGTAAAACAGTAAGTGTACTGTAAAACAGTAAGAGTACTGTTAAACAGTAAGTGTACTGTAAAACAGTAAGTGTAATGTAAAACAATGAGTGTATTGTAAACAGGAAGTGTACTGTAAAACAGTAAGTGTACTGTAAAACAGTAAGTGTACTGTAAAACAGTAAGTGTACTGTAAAACAAAGAGTACTGAAAAACAGGAAGAGTACTGTAAAACAGTAAATGTTCTGTAAACCAGTTATTGTACTGTAAAACAATGAGTGTATTGTAATAAAAGTAAGTGCACTGTATAACAAAAATTGTAGTAAGCATTCTATAAAACAGTAATTGTACTGTGTAGCGGTAAGTGAACTGTGTAACATTAAGTGTACTGTGTAACGGTAAGTGTACTGTCTGTCGGTAAGTGCACTGTGTAACGCTGTGTACTGTTTAACAATAAGTGATACTGTGTCACAGTGAGTATCACACAGGTCTGCCGCTAACCATTAATTGGCGGTACAGTCCAAACTAGGAACGCAAAGGTTGGCCCAACTCGGATATTCAAATTAACACCAGTTGTGCGTGCTATAAAGTTAAACAGGGTAAACCAATGAGTAAATAACTAAGTAAGCATGGTTTAAGGGGTTGTTTTCTAAAATAATACAATAAAAAGGGATGAAGCTGATTACTGGACTGGTGGTAGCTATGATGATTGGCTAGCGGAGATGGCTGGAGCACGGTTAATTGTTGAACGCTTCGCGAACATCACCGATGGATCTGTTATAGGTATTAAGAGCATTTAATGCTAGCTAGAATTTGCATTGGGATTAATCATGGATAAGGATGTTCTGCTTAATTTAAAGGGTGGTATGTATTATTCACAACAGAACCCTTAAAGGGAGTGGCTGGCCAGAGGTAGTTGAGCTGAGACTGCAGTATTGTAGAGATTTTTTTTAGAAATCATTTGAGACTGATCGGATTTATCAATTATAAACCATACAAACGCCTTATAGGTCTCAAATGATTTCTAAAAAATTTGTTTACAATACTGCATTCTCAGCTTAACTACTATGTCTAGCCAGACACTCCACTTTAAAACCTTTGTGTGGTCTAGAATGAAGAAGATATTCTTGTGTTTCTCGTGCTATCAATCGGATATATAACTCATTTAAATACGTTTACGGACCCTCAATCGAACATACCACTCATTTGAAATACGTCTACCGACCCTGTACATCTCATCTCTTTTGAAGACCCTGTATTTAAACTTTTGAATAAAACTTTTAATTAGGAGTGCGAGCCCCCTTCCTCAGGGTTGGAGGCAACAAGCAGTTTGAGATGATGGCTGATCAGTTTTTCGTTTACGACACGTCGATCACTGCCGCATTGTCCCGTGTACCCATCTGGCCATACACCCTGTACTTCAGAATGCCGCACAAGTGCCACGGGAACGCAATGAGCTGCCCCAGCCGGTCCCACCCTGTATGGGAGATGGTGATCAATGAGTTGGATCGACGAGATGATCCAACCTTTGACGAAGATCTGGCCGGATGCCATTTAGTTTCCTCCTGCTCAAATATTGCTGATAGGTGATTTAAATATTGATAAATCTCCTTATTTTGGACAGAGGAACCCAATATTGATGACAGGGGAACCAAGTTTTACTGGCAAGGAAACCAAATATTTTTACTATGGGAACCAAATATTACTGACAGGGGAACCAAATATTTCTAAAATGGGAGCCAAATATTTCTAACATAGGAACCAAATATTACTGACAGGAGAAATAATTTTACTGACAGGGGAAACAAATAACTGACAGGGAAACCAAATATTACTGACAGGGGGGAACCAAATATTATTGACAGGGGAATCAAATATTACTGATAGCGAAACCAAATATTACTGAAGGGGAACCAAATATTACTGACAGGGGAACCAAATATTGTTGACAAGTGAACCAAATATTTTTAAAAGGGGAATCAAATATTGAAAACAGGGTAACCAAATATTACTGATGAGGTAACCAAATATTACTGACAAGGGAACCAAATATTACTGACAAGGTAACCAAATATTACTGACAGGGGTACCAAATATTACTGACAAGGAAACCAAATATTACTGACAGGGGAACCAAATAATGACAACAGGGGAACCAAATATTACTGACAGGAAAACCAAATATAATTGATAGGAGAACCAAATAATGACAACAGGGGAATCAAATATTACTGACAGGGAAACCAAATATAATTGACAAGGGAACCAAATAATGACAAAAGAGAATCAAATATTACTAACAGGGGAACCAAATATTGACAACAGGGGAATCAAATATTACTGACAGGGGAACCAAATATTACTGACAGGGGAATCAAATATTGATGTTTCGTATGTTTTCAGATCTCAGTTTGGTCGTCTTCTTCGACATAATTTTAACAGACATTACAGTACAAACAGGTTGGATTTTATTTCAAATTAATTTAACAAACTAACAAATCAAGCACCCAAACATATTAACTTTTTGATCCAAGCATGAAAAGAGAAAATTTTAGATCTGGCTTTACATTAAACAAATTTTATTTTAGATTTTGTTTTCTATAAGCAATTTTTATTTTTCAATAAATTTAAATGTAACGCTTAGTTTATCAGATAGCTTCGGGAGAACGACAGGAATGTTCTTTAGTATGTTTTTAATAGTTTGAACGATATTTGACAAAAAATATTAAAGTTTGTTAATTACAAAAATTCGCTTCATTCAGAGACTTATTAAATCTCAGATTTTTCAATTACGTGAAATATGTAATGTTTCTGATAAAAATATATAAAGTTATACAGGGTGCCCCAATAAACATGCGAATTGAGAGACTACTTTAATGTCGTCTTTGATTTCCGATAGTTCAAAAATGACATAAATTGCACCAAAAAAAGATTAAACGTCCGATAAATTTTCCAAAATAAAGTCTACCTTCTTAGTATCTTTAAACTGAGGAGACATTAAACATTTGAACAATTTTGTTGAGTTTTATTAAACAGCAATCTGAACAAAGGAGATGAGTCTTTGGAACAAAATCAAATATTTAAACCTCAATATCTTTAGAACCCGAGGTTGTAAACCTTTGATATTGCAAACTCAGATTATTTGATCTAACAGAATTCATAGTTTGAAATATCTAAGGTCTGCAACATTGGTTCCAAAGATATAGTGATCAAAATTTGTAGCAATGACTCAATTCCTTTTTTTAATATCTCTGTTGAAGGTGAAAAAAATTGGTAGACCACATTTTGGAAATCCCAAAACTAGTAATTTTCGGTGTTAAATGTTTAAACTGCAGATACCACATAATTATGTTTACATAAATAATCCCACTTGGAACATAAACGATATGAAAGTCCCATGTTTATTGGGATCGATAATTCAAACAACAAATATTACAAAAAAAGGACTCATAGAACTAGATAATTGTAGTCAAGTTAGAATTTTGAATAGTCCATTGGACATGAACAGAGCAAGTATAATCTAACACAGACCCATCTTACTTGATTATTTGATTGTCAAGCTACCATTAAAACTATTTATTCTAGAATAACATCAAATACATGATAAAATTGCTTAAATATCGTCTTCTTATTCCATAGTTTTATAGGTTTCACTGTAACTAATTTGTAAATTGCTCAGGGCCCCCCTGGGACTACACTTCCACGCCTCCTGGTTGAAGTCGAACAAGGGGTTCAAGGAGGAGCTCATCAAGTTTGTTGAGGAGATGAATGCTAAAAGTGATGTTTACTTCGTCAACATGGTTCAGGTAAAATAAGAAGATTTATGAAAACATAGATGTCCACATTTTTATCAGGAAATGCGTGAATAAGAAGAAAAACTGACCTTACTTCCTGTAAAAATGACCTGTACTTCCTGTAAAAAAAGATACCACTGCACAATTGTACCTGATTCACCGGAAGTTGTGTTGTGAATAAGGATGAAATATTATCATCTTATGTAGATCTACAGAGTACGGATTTATTCAATTCCTCCACATACTCTGCAGGGATTTCCTGCCATGAGGGATCAAGCACTTATTCTCAAAAGAATTGAGGCTTTGCAACAAACCCATTTTTTCTATATATCTTTGCAACTTAAAGGTGTTAACCCTCAATGTTTCAAATTTAAATTATTTTATCAAACAGAATTCATAGTTTTACTTTTAAATATCTTAAGATCATACGACATTGAGTCGCATCATTAAATTTTATTTGATTATGTTTTATTTTCATGAATATTTAGGTTCTTCAATGGATCCAGAATCCTACTGAAGTGTCTGCTCTCAGGGAGTTTGATATCTGGAAGGAAGCATGTGAAGTCGTGGTATGTAAAACCTAAAATGCCCCTGAAATAAATCCCAGATGTGCAACACAATTTTTTAGGAAGCAATATGGTAAAACTAGCTGATATACGAAATTTTAACATTCGAAAACAATTTTCCTAATGGCCCAGCCATTTTAATGTTTTTTTTCCCCGCCATTTTTGTCCTTTTTAAACATTCTCGGCTAGTTTTCAAGGGATTTTCAAGAGTAATACCATTTTGGAAATCCATTAACTTGGTCAGAAATGGCCTGAAAAAATGTTTTATTGTCATGCAAATGTGTAGGGTATTGGCCAACAAATGATGCATCCTTTAAAAAAGAATTTTCTTTAAAAGTCCCCCCCCCTCCCTACTTCCAGCAAAACCCCGCATGAAGAACCCTTCCTCCATTCCTTCATTGATTTATGTTAAAAATCTAGCAATTTACATTAATTTACAATTTATATTTGATGCAAATGGTGATTTCTTATCAAATGTGCCGTGGACACAGCTGTCCCCCCCCCTCTCTTTCTGAAAAATAACAACATCGATGACATTCTGTAATCAAGGGCCTAGGGAGGTTGTTCTTTATCAGAAGGATTGACGTCATTTGTGATAGAACTAAACAATGGTGTGGTGTATCTTCCCTCCCTCGGGTGGAGGTTATTAAACGTAAGAGTTGGAGTGGATGGATCATATTATTGATTGATTGATTTGTCCAGGGTCAACCTCTCTGTAGCCTGCCCAGCCCTTGTCCTCTGACTACTAGAGAGCTTCCAGGAGAGACCCTGAGGCTGCATACATGTGTTGGTAAGAAGTTAGACAATTTGGGGTCATTGTGCAGTAGCTTAGCTTAAGCCAATATTTTTTTTCAGACTTAAATTATGAATTACCTTAAATGATTTTTTTTTGGGGGGGGGGGAAAGCAGGGGAACAATTATCTCAAAAGTAAAACTAAACCGGGATTCACATTTTTCCCCAACACTAGCTATTAAAAAAAATTGACACATGCTTCATATTTTTGGCTGAAGAATGTTAAAAACAATATTTGATGCTTTTATAGAACAATTCCGCAAAACTTAAATCTTGTTTTTTTTCTTTCTTAAAAATTCAATGAGATAAAGTTAATTTTGATACAGTGGTAGGCGATTATATCATTACAATGAAGACGAGTTTTTATTTAAGTTTTAATTGTTAACAAGCTTTTTCAAATTACAAGTTTACAAGTAATGAAAGAGAAGCTTTTTAAATTGTTAAGTTCTATTGACATACCGTAAAACAGCCTGATTTAAATCAAAATTAAAATCAAAAGTCGTCTTCTTTGTATTGATATAATCGCTTACTACTGTATATTCCAAAACTACATAAAATCATAAAAATCTATTAATATTTCTTTGTTGAATGTGTTTCTGCAATTTGACTGAATTTATTTTAAAAATATTTTTAATTTCAGAATGTCCTGCTAACTACCCCTGGATCCTGGATCCAACAGGAGACGGATTCTCTTTCAAGAAATAAACCTCCGGATTGATTTCAAAAAAAATATTTGATTTCAAATTAAAAATGTTGTTTTATTGTATTTTTGTTTTATTGTTTTTTTGTGTTCTCCTTCTCATAGAACATTTCAACAGTTTATCAGTATTATTTACAAATAAAAGAATTAATTTCATCACATCTCTAATTAATTTCAGAATTTTTCCATGTATATTTTTTAATACAGTGAAACCCTTAATAACAAATACGTCGGAAGAATTTATAAAATGTCGTCTTGACAATTTTTTAATGAGTTTTATACTATATTATGTAAATTTCAGTGTTTGCGAAAATAAATAAATAGCCATGAATATGCGGGAACAGTTTTAAAGAGTTCCATATAATCTTTTATTTAAAAAACTTAATATCTGCAACATTCCACTATCAGAAAGTGAAGAATACAACATTTGATGAATTTTTTCGATGTATTCGTTATTAAGGGTTTCACTGTACAAACTAGAGAAAGAGGACACTAGGGATGCTTGATACACAAAATAGTCCTAAAACTTTCCAATTTTAAAGCAGGAGACCTTGACCAAATAAATTATCAAGTTCAATAAAAGTCTTCAGAAAAATGGACCAATTATGCATGACGTCAGAAGTGTCAAATGTAACAAGAAAGACGACATACGTTTAAGATTTAGGTTTCACAAAAACTGTAAAATAAATAAAGAACTTAAAATTACATGTACGAGAATATCAACTGTCACCCCAACTACCGTCTGTTTTTAGAGAGAACCCACCCACGCCCTTGAAGCTGAATCTAAATGGCAACTACCCAAACTACCTTCAGTTTTTAAAGAGACCCCATCCCCACTCTGTTATAATTCTTTGCGCATGGTATACAATATGGGTATCGATTCCCATTAAATCAATTGTTTTAAGCTTGTTTCTGTCACTCATAACACTCTCCGACCTTTACTATCCTCACCACCCACCTTCTGAAGGGTGCACAGCATTTCGTAGTCGAAAAAAAGGCATTTTATGCATAGGTCAATGGGTGGCTTTATTTTTTTTTTTTATATATTTGCTTCTGACATGATCCAGAATAAATTTGAATAGAATGATATGGACAAGATGAAAGTCTAAAAGTGTGTTAATAGGGGAAAAAAAGCGTAATGGAGAATGCTGGCAGAAAGATGATATGGCTGAGCAGGAAAGTCCCCACAATTGAAAATGTTTCAAACCAAATTTACAAGGTTTCCTAATCTTAGTTAATGATTGTCGATATAATTGCTATTTATGTGCCGCATACAAAGTTGTAAAGTAAAATTTGGAGATTTCTACAACATTTACTTTTAAGGTTACTAAATCAATAGAACACACATAAATGGAAAAAGTTTGAGTCTATACAGATCAGATTATTAGACTGTGAGTCTGTAACAAGCAACGAAGTACCAAAACAAAACCTATCAAAACAGAATTAACGCAACTCTGATCTTCTAATCCCTAAATCTTTGCAACCCAATGTCCTAGACCTAAGATATTTCTAAAATTGAATTCTGTTAGATCAACTTATTTAAATTTAACATATCAATGAACACAATCAGGTTGCTAAGATGTAGGGATCATATATTTTGAGTTTGTGGCAAAGACTCAAGAGGCAAGCGTATGTTTCTTATAAATGTTTTACTGGGAGAATAAAAAAAAATCAATGAAAAAAAGCACAAAGCAACCTAGGTTATGCTCCCTTTGATGATAATTTTTTAAATTTAATTCTGTCGTTTAATATGTTTTGTAAATGCTCCTTGATTTCTAGCAGACAGAAACTAATATCAATAAACATAAAGTAGTAATCTCTGTTTAATATGTTTTGTATGTGCTCCTTAATTTCTAGCAGGTAGAAACTAATATCAATATACATAAAGCATTAATCTCTGTTTGATATGTTTTATATGTGCTCCTGGATTTCTAGCAGACAGAAACAAATATCAATATACATAATGTAGTAATCTCTGTATGATATGTTTTATATGTGCTCCTGGATTTCTAGCAGGCTGAAACTAATATCAATATACATAAAGTAATAATCTCTGAATGATATGTTTTATATGTGCTCCTGGATTTCTAGCAGGCTGAAACTAATATCAATATACATAAAGTAGTAATCTCTGTTTGATATGTTTTATGTGTACTCCTGGATTTCTAGCAGACAGAAACTAATATCAATATACATATAGTATTAATCTCTGTTTGATATGTTTTATAAGTGCTCCTGGATTTCTAGCAGACAGAAACTAATATCAATATACATATAGTAGTAATCTCTGTTTGATATGTTTTATATGTGCTCCTGGATTTCTAGCAGACAGAAAATAATATCAATATACATAAAGTTGTAATCTCTGTTTGAAATACTTTGTATGTGCTCATTAATTTCTAGCAGACAGAAACTAATATCAATATACATAAAGTTGTAATCTCTGTTTGAATGTCCAGTCAAAACTTATGAACCCCATGATGTTCTTGGCGTGGTTTAAGAAACCCTAGTTTAGTGAGCTAATTTTAATAGAGAAAGTTTAGTTTCTAGGGTTAGCTGTGGTTCCAAACTATTTACAAATGTTTAATATTTTATTAACATTATATTTTGAAGTTTGAGTAGAAATGATAAACAATAGAATTGCCATCTTAAATATATTTTCCTTTTAGATTTAACTTTACTTATTGTGAGATATGACCTCGAGGTTGTATTTAATAAGGTTATTGTTACTCTCAATGCGCTCCAATATACGGGAAATGTTGTCTCCCAAGATAGATAGATAAAACCCAATATGACGTCACTGATTATATTGGCGAGAGTGACGTCATATTAGGTTTTTATCTATTTATCATAGGCGACGACATTTCCCGTACGTTGAAGCGCATCGAGATTAACCTTTTTTACTATACAACCTTGGATTACTCCAAGGTTATAATGCAAGGAAAGTTAATTGCAGTTGCGTATACTCTGCGTACATATTGAAACCAGTTCTCTCTGGGCGAAATTTGAAAACAAGAATAGATGCAACAGTATTCGTTTAGTATCCAAGGAGGATAAAATCATTGAATTTTGAAAATTTCGATAATTCTCATAATAGTTTTCTATGACCAGAATATTTCATTGATTTTGTATGTGCCATCCATCTTGTGTTTACATTACCGCCCAGAGACAGTACACTGCAGTACAAAAGATGCGTACACCTCTGAAATAACTTTCCTTGCATTATAACCTTGGTTGAGCCCAAGTATGAGAAAATCTAAGTTTAATTGGCTGCAATTTTGAAAATCCGAACTTTTTTCTTAAAAGCTTCTAAAAATGTGGAGTGTGGTTGAAAACATGTGAACTGTCAACGGGAGGGCAACTTTAATTTGACAAAGGGGGGGTCATCTTTGTTTCTAAAAGTAGGAGGGGCACTTAGATTTAAAGGTTGCAAGCTCTCAAGCGAAAATTGATGAGAATTTTACCAATTACTTTTTGGAAACCAAAACTATCAAAAAGTTCTTTGAAGTGCTAAAAATGTACATGTAAAAGGCTACAGAAAAGCATAAGTGAGTAAAGCGGTAAGATTAAAGCCGAAGACGTTGCGACACTGCAAAGTCGACCCTGACTTAAAAATTAATGATTCTTTTTACAAGCAAATAAATGCATAAAGCCGGGCATAATATACATTTTTCTAATTTTTCTTCAGTTTCATTAGAGAATAGTATAAAAGCAAAACAATGTTATGAGAAATACCTCGAAATAATAATTAAATTAGATGAGTTTCCTATTCAACAATATCAAAATATACACTCTAAAATTAAAAACCAATATTAAGCGATTAAAAGTCGCCTAATCGGGTGTAAAAGTTGGATGGCACATGTAGGCGATAAAAATCTTAAACCATGAAAGACAAATAATCGCTTATATTCGAAAAAAAATCGCTTTTTTCAACAAAAAATTACGTATTTTGCATTTTATATAGCTTCCAAATAAGCGACAAAAAATCGGTTTAAAAAAAAAAAAAAAATCAATTATTTTCGACAAAAAAAATCTTATCCTCTCTTCCTCCCGCCCCCCTAACCCCTAACATCCCTTTATCTCCTTCCCTCCCTGTACTTATGATTAACTAGCTAGACTTTTTTATTGTTATTTTTCAAATGCCCGTTTTTTCATTTGTACTTACTAGTTTCCAAGCTAGACATTTACCCCCACCCCCCCCCTTGAAGTCATATAGTACACATGAAAGACCTGATTTGTATGGATTTGTAAAAGATTAGACAATTCTTTGAACAAAAAAATGTAAAATTGTTAATGCATTACATAGTGTTTGCGGTGATTACATAGTCATTTGTAAAAAAAACTAAAAAATTTCTGTTTTTTGCTAACAAAGTACAATTTACTTACTTACAGTATAACATCAAACAACGTGTTGCAGAATCGCAGAATCGCAGAACATTTACATAAAATATACTCTAGCAGACTTTATTACTTTATTATCAAGTACTAGCTAAAGGACCCGGCGTTGCCCGTGGAAAAAAAATTTGAAAACTAAAAATTTAACATTTTTTCCGATTTTTATTTAGCCTATTACACCCTCTGGCCACCCATGAGTATCCACAAAAAATGTTAGCCCAATCGGTCCAGCCGTTTGGCCGACTAAACGCAACATATATATATAGACGAATGTCTTGTTTTATTATATGGATGGAATTAAGCAATACAATGTTAATTCTTATCAAAGAAGATTTCGTATAATTGTCACTTTATTCCCATGTTTATTGGGAGACCATGTTAATTCTTATCAAAGATTTCGTAGAACTGTCACTTTATTCCCATGTTTATTGGGAGACTCTGTACGAAACCAATTCTATCATAGAATCAAGGGCTTTTTATTTGATACGAAGTCAGCTGGGAGAATTTTTGGCCCAAATTTTTGGGATAAAACAAGCATTACATGATTTCCCAATTACAAATAATATTTGATAAATTCAGTTTTTTTAAAATACAACTTACAAATATAATGAAGAATAAATGTAGTAATTTTATTTATTTGTAGTTTAAACCAACTTTAAACACATCAAACTACATTGTACAATAATCTGAGCTGGGATCTTTTGAATCGGGATTATGAATACCCATAATCCCGATTGCTAGATCTTGATATCACGGTGGACACTTTTAATTTGAGGATCAATGCTCGGGAGAAATTATGTTTTGTAAAAAATGAAAATTTTGGGATCTTTTTGTCAGTTTTACTCTAGCTAATAAACGTGTCCAAAAATGGACAAAAAAGTTTGTTTCACATTTTCACATATTGTTACACAGAATAATTAAAACTTTGTTTCCAGGATTATAACTCTCAGTTGGCTTGTGAAATATCAATCAGAAATTATTACCTTGAATGGCCATCCTAGAATTTCTTGAGAAAAAATTTACAAAATTTAAGATCTGGGGTTTCCATAACTTTGTTAAAGTCTTACCAGCTGACTGATATAATTCTTTAAGATTGTCTCGTATGATATAAATTATATCAGTTGAATTCATTTATTAGGATTGTCCCGTAGAAATAACTTTTATCAGCTGACTGATATTTTTGTTCTTTATAGCATCTCTGCATTCATTTATTACCAGAGTCTAAAAATAAAATAATAAAATAAAATATCTCCATGATAGATTAATTATAAAAACAACCAACGCTATTTAGAAATTCATTTCGTTAAGTATGTTGGGGATATTTCACAAAATGTACATCCCTGTAAATATCAAACAAAATGTTCGTTATCTAAAAATCACATACAGGGTTACCCACAAAGAATGAGAATTGAGACTGTAAAGACGATAGTTTCTATTAAAATATGTCGATCCGAAGGTTAAATTAAATATTCTGCTGTAGATCTAGTAATCAGCTTAATTAATGATTTGGCATAGAAACAAACAAGTTTGCAGTTGCACTGAATCAAGAATACATGTAAACAGGCAGTTCAAATTCCGAACAATCGTTTCTGAAGTTTTACCCTTTGTGGGCATTATGGTAGCTTCATTTCTTCAATTGAAGTATTAAAAAATTAATACTTTCCATTCCATTTCGCATTGGAAATGTTTGTAGAAAATTTTACCTTAGACTTGCCTATCCGGAGACGACCAGCCCGCTGAATAACCTGGTTAACTTCCTTTAATGTATCCATCAACTCCTCGTGGTTGGTCACCCTGCAGTGTAGAGGTTAATGTGTATACATTTAGAGTTCAATCAGTACAATAACATTACAACCGTACAGATTTAATCAAATAGATTATTTAGGACAACAGGTGTCAACATACTAGTTGACATGTTTTCCAAGATTAAATAAAAAAGTGTATAACAGAAAACAAAGAACATAAAATGGAACTTATTTTATTGTAAGATAAGCACTTTATTCTAAAATTATCACTATTATTAACAATTTTGTCGGACACTAAAACTGAATTGACACTTGTGACGTCAGAATACAGCTGTACTGAAAGTGTACAATTTCTACGTTGCCATCTATTGTACTAGAATCTATTTGGATTTAATCAGTTTAGTGATAAGGTACAGATCTTGTGTTCTGCAGCTGTAGTCAAATATTTATTTCTGACCCACAGCCAACATCATGGATAAATATCACAAGATAATCAAACATTTAGAAACACAAATTTATCCTTAAGATCTTACACAGTATTCCACTGGTAGTGTCAAATTATTCGATCCACCCTGTACATTGTACAATATACAAACTACAACCCTGTACAATACATAAAATACAATCGATCCATGTTTTCTTGATTCATTTACCTGATTTTGTATCCTGATACAAGATCCCTATTTATATCATGAAGCTGTCCAATTACCTGATTTTGTATCCTGATACAAGATCCCTATTGATATCATGAAGCTGTCCATTTACCTGATTTTGTATCCTGATACAAGATCCCTATTGATATCATGAAGCTGTCCAATTACCTGATTTTGTATCCTGATACAAGATCCCTATTTATATCATGAAGCTGTCCATACCATTTCTTCATGCTTTGCCTGAACATAATTCAACTTAAAATGTTTAAACTTAAACAAAATCCCTTCTCAAAGATATTTCCTCAGGTAAAATAATCTTTGCTTTTATACAAAAATAATAATTTGAAGAGTTCATAAAATATCTTTAGATGAATATTTTTGAAAAAATTAACATTCAAGGGAAAAGTATATATTTAATTGGGGGAAGTTTTGAGAATATACAAATTTTTAAATCTTCAAAATATAAGTCATTGTATTAGTCGCTTTTATACGACTACCTTAGGGATCAATATAATTTCATCCAATACGATCCCAAATGTTAATTGATTGGTATTAGGGGCAGAAATTACCCATGCTGTTGTAATAAACAATTGGAAGAATGATGTTAAGTTGTAGAAAATAATTCCAAACTGTAGAATGCATAGTGTAAGGGAGTGTTTTATTGCTCTGTATATCAGAATATATTGATTACCACAGACTAGCCAGACTGCGCATATGCTCTACCTGGATAGGCTAAGCAGGCCTAAAGTGGCCCAGATCGCCATACTATACATGAAAATTGTTAATTTTTATCGGCATACGAGATCTGCTATGACGTCACATCCTGTTATATAAGTGTGTCTAGAAAAATATAACCAAACCAAACTGTCATTATTCAAGAAACCATCAACAGGATTAGATCTGAGTATGAGTATATACTTTTCCATTTTAAACAATTTTTATTACCGTTTGTTTATTTTGTTTTTTGGGCATAAAGCATAAGCAAGATGAAGATTTAAGTTATATTAAATTTCTCAACTTTTAGATTAAGTTAGTAATAGAAAATCCAGTAGACCCAGTAGATCCACCGGTTGGTCAGGATGGGCTAGTGGATGAGGATCCAAGGGAGCTAGCAGCTCGGCAAGCTGCAGCTGAAGCAGCAAGAGTAAGGGAAGCCGAGGAAAGGAGAAACCGAGCCACGGACACGATGGTAAGGAGGAGAGCAGCCAGGGATGATGAAGATAGCGAGGAGGAACCTAAGGTTGAAGTTAAAACCAAGAGCAAGAGGAAACTGGATAATTTCTTCACGATGGAGTCGGCTAATCTACAGGAGGAACGATTAAATGAGAGAATGTCACTCAGGGTAAGAAATTTTTATTTTTATATTTTGTTGCCTGTGTGGCTGATTTATTGCCTGTGTGGCTGATTTATTGCCTGTGTGGCTGATTTATCGCCTGTGTGGCTAGAATATTGCCTGTGTGGCAGATTTATTGATTGTATGGCTAGTTTATTGCCTGTGTGGCTAGAATATGGCCTGTGTGGCTAGTTTATAATCTGTGTGGGCTTTGTTCACCAATATAATTCACCAAAACCATACTGTAGTCCTTTAATTATCATACAGGGAAATTTTCATCTTTCTAAACATCCCAACGAAAGATTTGACAGGTTCTTTTACGTTAAAAATTGTAAAACTTAACCCTTGAATGGGTATTATAGACAACAAGTAGCGGTTCGATGGCAATCAAAACCCTTTCGTGGAAATGTAGCATGTCGTGTCGGTACAACTATAGACCTGGTTTGCCTAGCCCGTGAGAGCTTATTAGCAGTCTGTGTGAAATACAGTAACCGCCAAACAAGTTTTCGGAAACAAAGTTCCAGGAATCTAAAACTAAGGACTTTATTTCCAGTGACATTTTGTTCTAGGACTTCAGAAAATAAGGACTTTTTTACCAAAGTTTTTATTTCCAGGTATTTTTTCCAGAAACTTTTTTTCCTGTGACTTTCTTACATGGATTCGTTTAATACGTCAAAAAAACATAAAACATTATTGTTGACACAAATAAAAGAACAAAAGGGATATTCGGTAACTTTATTGAATAATAGCATGAAATGAGAAATAAACCCAACAAACAAAACACAGGTTTTCAACGAGATTAGCATTATGGAGAACTGGTTGATAATTCACGTGATTAATTCTCGTACCCTCCTTGTGTTATACTCGTGGTAAATCTACTTTTCACAATCTTGAAGATTCCTCCTGTGTACAGCACGGGTAAAAAACGCGAAGAGAGAAATGGCAACAATATTGGGAAAAATAGCGTCACGGAAAAAATCCCATGGTAATATTGTACAAGTGATGACGAGACACTGCCAACATATTCTAGGAAAAGCAGTTCACGTCAATGATATTCAAGATTGGGAAGGTTTTGTTGTATTAGACAATCATGCAAAAATTGAACTAAATTATTTTCTAACAAATATTGTAGAGTTCAATGGAAGGAAAATCCAAACTTGTAAAACTCCTCTACATGTAATTTATCCAAATGAAAAACTGTATTACACGGAAGTAGAACATTACAACCCAAATAGCGAAGAAATGTATATTTGTTCAGACTCTTCTGAATCTCATTCTTTTTTATACGAAATGGAGAAATTTAATTTTATTCATGAATTTAAATTTTCGGAAGAAGAGTCTCAGTCAAGCTCTGGTTACAGAGAATTATTATCCGTAATAAAATTTACAGAGTTATATAAACCTATGAATGTAAAATCGAACATTGTAATATATTGGCTAACAGATTCTCAAAATTTGTATAGTTTTTTGAAAAAAGGTTCAAGAAAATTGTATATTCAGGAAAAGATTCTTATGATTAAAAAGTTTGAAGCCGATCATGGCGTTGTAATTATCCCGGTCTGGGCTCCAAGAGAAGATGAAAATCTTGTTTTAGCAGATTTGGGTTCTAAATTTGAAAAGTCGACAGACGAATGGTCAATAGATTCAAATTCGTATTTAGAAATATGCAAATATTTTGAACATAAACCAACAATTGATTGTTTCGCCAGTACTAAAAACAGAAAATGTAAAAGATTTTTTAGCAAAATTCCCCAAGAGGGTTCTATTGGAATAAACTTCTTTGTGCAACAACTTGAAATAAATGAAATTTATTGGATATGCCCACCACCGCATTTAATAATTGATGTAATTAAATTATTATCGTCGTACAGATGTAATTTAACAGTAATTGTACAGATGTAATTTAACAGTAATTTTGTTTATACCTCTCTGGAAAAACTCAAATTTTTGGCCGTTTATTGTAAAAAATAAAATTTTTCACCCAATAATTAAAAAATTTAAAATTTGTAAACCAAAATTTACACCAAATAATTCAACACAAAACGTGTTTGACGGGGTGAAGAATTTTCAATGTTTGGCATTTCTCATAAAAACGAAAGAAGAAAATGAAATTGTTTGTCCAATTTAAGAAAGTTTATCGAAAGTTAAAATAAATGTATGTTTCAGAATGGATTTTTTCATTATTAATAATGGGTTTGTAAATGGAGAAGCGGACGAAGTAGCCAGAGAGGAGATTGTGGGTTTGGATGAGAGGGAAGTCGGAGAAAATAAAGATCTCAGCCGCTTTGTTTTTAGCAAGAGGGTGTTTGGAGAAAAATCGAATGTTCCAGGTTAAAAAATTAGTTATTATCCTTAAGTATTGTCAAATTTTTTCGAGTTCTAAAAAATGTTGAATAATTTTTCATTTTAAATTAAGAAAATAACGAGGTTGTTTTACGTTTAGAAGTAGGAGTTCAAGAAAAGTCCTGTGTAAAGAGAAAGGCCGGTTTTACCAGACCGGTTATAACTACTGTAGTATCAAAACCGGAAGAAAGGAAGTTACCACTAGATTTAAATATCGAAGACTTAAAAGATTGCCAACCGATTTTCGATATGGATGAGGACTTAAAAGAAGTTGCATCAAAAGTACTTAAAGCAACATTGAAGCCAGGGACTATAAGTAATTATGAAGGGGTGATTAAAGACTATAAACATTTTCAAAACATACATGGTTACGAAACTTGTCCTACTGAGCAGAGTGTAAAACATTTTATTCTTTACCTGGAAAAAAATGCAGTAACTGAATCGTATATAAATAAAGTCAAACCAGCTATTAATCTACTAGAGGATTTAGTAAATCCGGGGAAAACTGTTTTTACAAAAGGAGTTTGTAGGATACTAGATGGAGTAAAGAATTTGACGCTGGAACGGAAAACACAAGTAGTAAAAGCACCAAGATTAGCTCTGGAAACTATCAAGAAAATGGTCAACAAAGTTGTAATTCCGTGCGTGCAATGTCCCGACAAAGTTAACGCTATTAACTTGAGAACAGTATTCAGGATAGTAATAGTTTATTTTACCTTCTGTAGGTTTGATTGTTTTGCTCATCTGGAAGCCGCTGATTTCACCGACAACGGAGAAGAAATCGAGATAAATTTTAGAAGAGCGAAGAATGATGCTAAACACAGAGGAAATACTACGAAATTAGTAAAAAATAATACTAATTTCTGCCCGGTATTTATTACAAGATTTTATTTTTCAAGATTCGGATTTCAGTTCAACGGAACGAATAAAGATCGGAGAAAAGTGAACTGTAGACTCAGAAAAATTAACAACCTGTGGCAGCCGCAAATAGGTGGATTAGGGAATTCTACAGCTACTGAACATTTAAGAAGATTGCTAAATCAGCTGGGAGAAAAATCAGATAGAGTGACAGATAAGTCAGCAAAAATGGAAGGAGTGACACAGATGCTGGAAAGTGGAGCTACGCCAGACGAAGTGGCACATCACGGAAGATGGAAAACAGTACAGATAGTACAAACTTATAAACATAATTCCGATGAATACAAGATCATGACAGCTCGGAAAATTCCTTATTAACAATTGATGTTTCAAAGCTCAGTTAGATTATTTAACGGTTGAATATAAATAAAATGGAACTTTTACGAAATTATTGTGATATTGAATTTTATTTTTTGTTGTCTGTTTGCTAGTTAAAAGAGTTATTCTTTGATTGATCAGAATTAAGGGAAAATTTTTTTTTTGATTGATAGATTGTAAGAAAATAAGCTTAAGTATAAATCCAATTATTTATGGGTGTTCAAATGATACGAGATATTAGGTACTCGTAGAATTTTGATATATTCCATATATATATATACCCAATAAACGTAAACTATATATTTTTCTAACCAATAGATAACTGGATTTGTACAAATAAGCAAGAGCTCGATAGAGATAAAAAATGAAATTTTTTCCGAACGCCGACCAAATACCAAAAAGTAAGAAAAAAATTCTTTTGAATGCCAAGTATTACAACCTTTAAAGAAATATTCCAATTTTTCACATGAAACAAAACATCCCTGGATAAAGATGTCTGCTGATTAGTCGTTCTCGTGTACAGTACTAGTACACAACAGAACCTGCTGTAGAAAATATCGCATATCATAGGTTTCAATTGATCTCTGTTACTTTCTTGTTTCAGTTGATTACTGAAATTTACATCTTTTTACACCCGAAATGCAGCAGTACACATTTCTGAAATACGTGTACACAAAAAAAACTTGCCAAAGTTCACAATGCCACAGCAAGTGTACTTTTACGCCCCTAAATGTACTTTCAACCATCAGAAATGGAATTAAATGGACCCCTGTACTAGCTATGTTGCCTTACTGTGTAGTTTAAAATTACTTACATATCTTTTAATATTCTCGAATCCTCTCCACGCACTACCAGGCTCCTATAAAATGTCAAAATAATGTTTCAAGAGTTCAAAGCTTACAATTGACACATAAAATTGTGCAATATAAAGACATTTTGGATTTTATAGAAGTCAAATGAACACATTAATTGAACATTATAGCGTAGAGACCCATTTCATTAGATCAGTTGAATTTCAACATCGAATGCACTTAAGATTACTTAAATGTCGTCTTCTTTTCCACAGTTTAATTGGACCACTCGCCATAAAAACGAGATCGAATACCGAGGTCTTATTTATATTCTCTTCTGTAGTCGAGAAAGGTTTTTAAATTTGATTTTAAGAAATTAAACCAGACGTAGCTGATCCATCTAATTATCACATTCTTAAATGAATTGAATTTTTGTCACAATTATGATTTTTTAATCTTTCTATCTTTGCAACCCGGTGTCGTAGACCTAGGAATTTTGTTAGATTATATATTTTTAGTTTACGCCATCAGAATTCAAAGATATAGGGGTGGGAAAATTTGAGTTTGTGGCGCAGGAACTCAGTTCCTTTCCAACTCTGATCATTATAGAAAATATGTTCTCTAAATACCTGATGACCCCTGAATGGTCTGCCATATCAGCGCTTAGTTTTAACCTTACAAACTGTAGTTCCTCAGCTCTAAATTTAAAGGGATTGTTCATTATTTTCTTTACAAAATAAAAAAATGTTTTATCAAATATCTTTTAAAAGTAATTTCTTATCATAATGTGATCTAAACCTAGGACAAGTTATTCAGGCTCCTCTGGGTTATCGTAGTTTTCAGATTAAATTAATTAATTAATTAAATTAATTAACACGTTCATAATAAAAACAAAACAAAAACAAAGCACTACGCGGTTCTATTTTTCATAAATACTTTGAAAACGGAATGAGTACAGGTCATAATTCAGTGAAACCCAGTTCTATACTCACCNTCCTCCATTCCCCACTCCTCCCTCCATCCCTCCTCCTCCCTCCATCGCTCCTCCTTCCTTAATCCCGTTCTTCCATCCCACTCCCTTCTTCAATCCCCCTCCTTCCACCATTCCTCCCTCCTTCAATCCCCCTTCCTCCCTCCATCTCTCCTCCTTCCTCCATCCCCCTCCTTCCTCCAACCCTTCTCCGTCCTTAGCAATATTTTAAACAGTTTTTAATATTATTTATCAGAAAAATTATTTGTTTACCTTGAGAGAAGTCCTTCTAGTTTAAACATTTCAGCAGGAAACTTGGCAGTGCTTCCTGTTAACAATAGATAGAATAAAGAACCATAAAAGCTTGAAGAGATTAATGAAATCCCACACAATACCAATTAAGGCTACGCACGTTTTAGTGCAAAGCGTTAGACATTTATAATTTTATATTTATATTTATATTTATATATAAATAATTATATTATAATTTGTTACAACTTTGGAAAAATGGCTATTAATCAATTATTTGCAAAAATGTATATATTGTGATTTTTGCCCAATTCTAGAAGTACAATCTAGGGCTTCTTACATAGAAACTTTCCCATCCTGTGATGTGAGATTCCCGAGGGAATCTCTAATCCCCCAGTTGGATGGATCAGATCCCTCCCCAAAGTCCAACCCAATCTTTCATGGATCCAACAAATCTACCACTGAATCTGACCTAGCACCCTCCTCCAGTTCCTACAGTATGTTTGGATATTGTACTTTTGACAAGTGTAATCTTTGCCCAAAAATAACAAGAGCAAAAGTGGGAGATTTCTATGCCTGCTTTGTCTCAAAAGATTCCAGACGAAAGGATGTGATTTGGTACACGCACATTCGAGAACTAATCTTTGTTTAATAGACAGTGAAAATATATATAAATGTAAAATGTCATTATAAACATGTATATTTAGTATATATATATACATATTTTTAAACCAATAATGTTTTAGGTTATAATTTTACAAAATAAACATTTAGATCTTAAAAAAATGATTTTAGCCGAAATACTTATCTATCAATCTATCTGATCAACGATAAATATCGATTTAAATACAGGGTGTCCCAATAAACATGGGTATTACAATGCTAATTCATAACAAAGACGATATCGAATTCGTCACTGAATTCCCATGTTTTTTGGGACACCCTGTATCAATTTTTTGTCTAAACGATTTTCTTTAAACAAATATGAAAAAATACGCAATTCAATTTTTTCCAACGCATAGAGATAATCTTATCCATACAATCTTTCTTTGAATCTATGCTTACGTTTTCTCTTGGTGGATTTCTTGGAGTTAAACCTGAATCCTTCAATTCAAAAGAACACTGTAAATTTCAATCATGTAAAATATGCAACATTTGAATCTGAATATAAATATATTCAGTAGTCTATTCTTCAAATCAAAAGTTCTAGGCTAAGATTGATTACCTAAGTCCTCTAAGCCAAGATAATTTGCCAATGATTGAACAATGTCTCCAGCCAAATCCATATTGTTGGTTCCTAAACAAGAATTTATTACTTACTATTGTTATCTATTAGTTGAAGTGTCCGGCGTTGCCCGTAAAAAAAAATCAAGTCTTCAAGAATTAAAAAAAAAAAATTTAGCCTGTGTTATCCCTAGGGGAGGCATGAGTTCAATAAAAAAAATCAGCCAATTTGGTTCAGCTCTTTGGCCAGCTATAGTTAACATAAATACAAATATTTATATGAAGTGCCTGGCGTTGCCCGTGGCATTAAAAAAATTTGGAAAAAAAAATTTATTTAGCCTTTATTACCTCCCGGGCACGCATGGGTTCTCTCAAAAAATGTCAGCCCTTTCGGTCAAGCCATTTGGCCAGCTATAGCTGACATATATATATGAGCGAAGAGCTTTATTAAATAGAGATGAGCGAAGATCTTTATCATATAGATAGATGATGTTTGGTTCAAAATTCATTTAAAATTTTTCAAAAAAATAGATAGATAAATTAGTCAAAACATAATTTACATAAGTTTGCAGAAATGGTATTTAAAGGATTTAAAGAGACTAGCGTAGACTTTATCTATAACTGACTTTCCGTTCATCGAATGACATTTCCGATGCTCTTCAGGTCCTTCAGGTACTCTAAGGGGATTTTCAGATCAAAAATACATGAGATACTCATTTAATTTCTTTAAAACATTATTCAAAATTGTAAGTTTCTCAATAAAGTGTGTTTTAAATGTATACTGCAGAAGCGAGGGTTAAAAATTGCAATGGGACAACAAAGCAATTGATTACATCACCACAAGTTTTAACTTTCTATTGCTAGTTCATGAACGTTTATGGAGTAAACCTTTGATTTCAAAACTTATTTTGACTTTTTGATCAAAGGTCTACAACATAAGGTTTATAAGATATAATAATTTAAAAATTAAATGAAAATTAAAAGTTTACGGCAAGTAATCAGATCTTTATAATGTCAGTGACCAAATTTAATGATTTTAAACTGGCTACCACCGGTTCAAATTTGAATCATCGATTCAAATCTACTCTTATTCTTTAACTTTGAATCAGTGATTCAAATTCAAAGACGTATATCAAATTAATTAAATTTGGTCCCAGAAAGATAAATTAAATTGTATGAATTATAAACTTAAACTATTTTTACTTATTTTTACTACTCCTGTTCCATCAGCATTAATACTCAAAACAGCTCCATCCCTAGAATATACAATTCAATGGAAGTAAACACATATTTTCTATTGTCATTAATTATTAAAAATTTAATTAAAGGGACTGTAAGAGTAATTTTAAGTGACCCTTCATGCAAAAATAGCAATGCCCGATTTACAACGGTGCCCTTTGTCTGATCAAGTATAGAATTAGATATCAATGTTTTTGTTTCTTTTATCGGTTAATTTTTATTGACGGTTTCTTTCTGCAAATATTACTTGCGCATTTCTTGCTTATAAAAAGCAATGGTGAAATTTTCAAAATTTAACACTTTTCAAGACAGAAAAACGTCTTTATCGCTTGGAGGGACACTTTAAATTACGCTTTGAAGTCCCTTTAACAATGAAAAGTAGTTGTACTAGGTACGGTTAGTTGAACTACTTCTCATATGGACTCAGGTTGCATCAAGGGTGTAATGCAAGGAAAGTCAATTGCGGTTGTGTATACTCTGTGTACATATTGAAACCAGTTCTCTCTGGGCGGAATTTGTAAACAATAATAGATGCATCAGTGTTCGTTCAGTAATGGAGGAGGAGGGCACAATGAAGAAGTTACTTCTTCTTAGTACTAGGTCTGTGAAAACATTGATCAAACTTGTATGTTTATTAGGTCTCATTGTTAAATGATTAAAAAATGCATTTATGTTATAAATTCCTATGACCAGTATATTTAATTGATTTTTTATTTGAAAGATGGATCCCATGTCAGGCTGTTGCACCCCTATTCTTGTGTTTACATTAGAGCCCAAAGACAGTACACTGCAGTGCAAAAATTCGTACACCACTGAAATAACTTTCCTTGCATTACACCCTTGGGTTGCATTAGAGTACTGGCTCACATAGCGTTTTACCAGTCCCAAACTATTAATTCCCAGAATTTTTAGGATATTTACCTAAGAGATAAGAATTTAACATCTAGAGCTGCTGCACTGTTCTCCAAATCCTAAATATAAGATACAGGGTTACCCACAAAGGATGAGACTGTAAAGACAACTCAATAATATAACAATCCCAAGTTTAAATAAAGTCAATTCTGCCTTGAATCTGGTTTTTAATTGGCTAATTGAATGATTTGACAGATAAATAATGAATTTTAGAGTTGCAGAGAAACATATAAACACGCAACTCTGGTCCTTCAGTAAAAGTAAATTCAACCCAAAGCCTGACCACGTCAACCTTGTTGCACAGGCTAGTCCTATTGATTGTCTGTTTTATTTACCCAATGTCCGGACGATACAGTACAAACTGGGACCAGAAAGGTGGACCCGGCTCGGAAATTCAAATGTACTACGGCTGTCCGTAATAAAAGAACAGTTTACATTCCGTACATTCGTCTCTGAAGTCTCATTTTTTTAGGGTAACCCTGTGCATATATTTTTCGAAAATAAGGCGTAGCAAATAATGCAGTGTATGTGATATATTATTTTGGTTTGTAAAAATCTTTCAGGTTTTTTTTATCGGGGAAATAAATATAGTTTGGGGTAGGTACAGTCAAACCCCAAATAAGCCAGACATCGAAAGTATTCATCAAATCTTTAAAATTGTTCCCGCATATTCAATATTCATGTCTTTTTATTTATTTTTGCAAATAGTGAGATTTACGTAAAATTGTATAAAACCCATTGAAAAATGATCAAAAATAGTGATTAGTGAATGTTAAAGGTATTTTAAATATAATTTGTCCCACCTGCATTCAAAGAATGACATTCTCAATGGTACACTTAAAACCTTTATTGGGGAAGATGTCCTGTTTTTTCCTTTTACAAAGTTCCTGCTGCATAGGTTAAATATTTATTCTAATAAAAAAAACCGCAATTGAAAATTATAATTTTTAAAATTTTTAACAAAAAGAAAACAAGGATAGTTCCATCATTTGTCACATTTTAGATTTTACCGCTCTAACTCACTTATGCTTTTCTGTAGCCCTTTACATGTACATTTTAGCACTATAAAGCACTTATTGTTAGCTTTGGTTTTTTAGAAGTAGTTGGGAAAATTCTTAACAATTTAAGCTTGAGAGTGTGAGACCATGAAATCGCAGTGTTGTGCTCCGACACCAGGCTAGAAGGGTACCACAGTTTATCGGGAATGGAAATCTTTAATTTTAAAATTACTTTGTATAGTTTCTTTAAATGGTTGGCCACCTCTGTAAGAAGAAAGTTCTGATTGAGCCACATGATGATCCTCTGAACTCTCTCCTTCAGGACCAACATCAGCTCACCCTCAGGCTCAGGGACCTCATCGTCACTTAACATTTAAATTGAAAATTAACTTATTACTCGCCTCAAATCCCAATCTTTGCAACCTTGCATTCAGTGCTTAAGATCCGGATCCGCTGTATCCGCAACATTTTGGCTACCTGGATCCGGATCCGTAAAAATATGCGTATCCACACATTCGGATCCAAGGGGCAAATTACCATCCAATACCATCCAATACCATCCAATACCATCCAATACCATCCAATACCATTCAATACCATCCAATACCATCCAATACCATCCAATACCATCCAATACCATCCAATACCATCCAATACCATCCAATACCATCCAATACCATGCTTAAAATCTACTTTAAGCTCACAATCTCAACTGATTGCTAATGAGCGAATATTAAAACTTAATAAAATCTCTAAATGTTTAATCTTAAAAATAAGTGAAAACAGAAAAAATAAAGAATTGAGTTTTTGCCACAGACTTAAATGTTCTTATCCCTTGATCTTTGCAGCCTGATGGAGTAAACCTTTGATATTTCAAACTGAAAATACTTGATCTAACAGAATTCATAGTTTGAAATATTAAATTTCTACAGAATCAGGTTGCAGAGATATATGAATTAAAAAGTCAGTGTGTGTGGCAAGGTGGATCCCCAGGATCCAGGATCCAGGATCTAGGATCCGGATCCGCATCAAACTAAATGTATCCTAAGAACTTGTTCTAATGTAAATTTTCAAAATGTAAATTTTTTAACTCTTATAATTTGATTTCGCATATGTCACAGTTTACTGTCTTGGAAAAACGCTCTTTATAAACATACCTTGGTACCAATGAGTACATAGAGAAGCGTGGTAGCTGTCTGGTCAACTCAAATACATGGTACTGAGAGGCATTTGCTTGCCCAACAAAAGCCTGAAAAGTTAACTTAATCAATAGAAACTTTACACAAAACATAAACAATAAAAGAAAAGGAGAGGATACGGTACAGTCTCATCTGTTTGTAGAAGTGACCTATAACTTAGCACAAGAAGTGCATCTGTACGGTACAGCTTCATCACTAGAGGCCTTCCAGTACAAAGATAATTGGTACAATTTCATCTTATTCTTGTGGTCTTGCCGATACAAAAATTTGATGTACAGTACAAATTCATCTAGTGGCCTTACCAGTAGAAAAAGGGCAATTTCAAATAAACTTACAGTTTCGAATTTCATTTAAACTTACAGTTTCGAATTTCAAATAAACATACAGTTTCGAATTTCAAATAAACTTACAGTTTCGAATTTCAACTAAACTTACAGTTTCGAATTTCATCTAAACTTACAGTTTCGAATTTCATCTAAGCTTACAGTTTCGAATTTCAAATAAACTTACAGTTTCGAATTTCAAATAAACCTACAGTTTCGAATTTCAAATAAACTTACAGTTTCGAATTTCATCTAAACTTACAGTTTCGAATTTCAACTAAACTTACAGTTTCGAATTTCATCTAAACTTACAGTTTCGAATTTCATCTAAAGTTACAGTTTCGAATTTCATCTAAACTTACAGTTTCGAATTTCAAATAAACTTACAGTTTCGAATTTCAACTAAACTTATAGTTTCGAACTTCAAATAAATTTTTATGAAATGACAAAACCACATTTCATTTTTTTATATTCTATGGTATATCTCTAAGTGGTGATACAGAAATACGGGGGGGGGGTTCAACTTATCACCTTAATATGTAGATCTACAGGTATATCTCTGGGTGGTGATACTGGTACAGAAATACAGAGGGGGGGGGGGGGTCAACTTATTACCTTGATATGTAGATCTACAGGTATATCTCTGGGTGGTGACACTGGTACAGAAATACAGAGGGGGGGGGGGGGTCAACTTATTACCTTGATATGTAGATCTACAGGTATATCTCTGGGTGGTGACACTGGTACAGAAATATTCTTCCCAAAATCCTTAGGATGAACTACAAAACTTTCACCCTGAACAGTTCTAAATTACTTACATAGCTTCAAGACAGGGTCGACTTTGAAGTGTCCTTTCCATGAATATCCTGTCTATGAAATGTCCTGTCTATGAAATGTCCTGTTTATGAAATGTCCTGTCTATGAAATGGCCTGTCAATGAAATGTCATATCTATAAAATGTTCTGTCTATAAAATGTCCTGTCTATGAAATGTCCTGTCTATAAAAAGTCATGTCTATAAAATGTCTTGTCTATAAAATGTCTTGTCTATAAAATGTACTGTCTATAAAATGTCCTGCCTATAAAATTTCCTGCCTATAAAATGTCCTGTCTATGAAATGTCCTGTCTATAAAATGTCCTGTCTATAAAATGTCCTGCCTATAAAATGTCCTGTCTATAAAATGTCCTGTCTATGAAATGTCCTGTCTATAAAATGTCCTGTCTATAAAATGTCCTGTTTATAAAATGTCCTGTCTGTAAAATGTCCTGTCTATGAAATGTCCTGTCTATAAAAAATATCATCGAAAATGTTACCTCAAAGATTCCTTCTGCAAAGATAAGAACTGCTCGAATAATGGTATTGTTCGAAGTTGACAGAGTGACCTCAACGTGGGGCTAAACAAAGAACAAAAACAATTCAAGGAGAGAACAGGAGTTTACATGACGAGGTGAAACATAGTGCAAGCAATTATTGCCATTGATTTGATTTAAAAGGACTGTACAGGTATGTAATTAAAAATTAACCTTGAAATTCTTCAAATATAAAATTATTTTATTCCACTGTGGTTTCTCTGTAAAACGTGACAGTTTTTAATGCAATTGTCAGAATTAAACACTTTTCAAGATTTAAAAAAAAACCTACGATATGTTTAACATTATTGACCCAATAAAGGTTTAAAGGATAACCTACGATATGTTTAACATGATTGACCCAATAAAGGTTTAAAGGATAACCTACGATATGTTTAACATGATTGACCCAATAAAGGTTTTAAGGATAATCTACGATATGTTTAACATGATTGACCCAATAAAGGTTTAAAGGATAATCTACGATATGTTTAACATGATTGACCCAATAAAGGTTTAAAGGATAATCTACGATATGTTTAACATGATTGACCCAATAAAGGTTTAAAGGATAATCTACGATATGTTTAACATGATTGACCCAATAAAGGTTTAAAGGATAATCTACGATATGTTTAACATGATTGACCCAATAAAGGTTTAAAGGATAATCTACGATATGTTTAACATGATTGACCCAATAAAGGTTTAAAGGATAATCTACGATATGTTTAACATGATTGACCCAATAAAGGTTTAAAGGATAATCTACGATATGTTTAANAGGAACATGTTGAGAAAATAAAAATTAATCTTATCATCGAAAATAAGTAATCTTGTTCAATTATTAGTTTCTATTTTCTCATTATTCTGGTTTCTCATTATTAAATTCATAAAGATTTTCTCAGATTTTCTAGAATTATTATTGAAAAGACGACATTTGAAGATTTTAAAGAATAAATTCCAAGAAGATAAGAAATTCAATATAATAATGAAAACGAAATAACAGATTTAGCATTGATTTATTGACAAATTTCTTTTGAGAAATCTGTTCCTAACCATCTAATTAGATTACTGTATAGTTTTTACTTTATTTTTCGTTGTCGTTATTTTATAATTTCAAAAAAATAATTCTGAAAACGTATCCACCCTCAAAGTAGGAGTTTTGCGCTCAAACTCAGGATTTACAGATCTTTAAAAAGTTTAATATGTCTCAAATGATTCCGAAAGAAGTTTTCCAAAACACTGCATACTTTAAGCAATATAATTAAAATATAATTTGGTGCTCGAGAAATTACATGGACTTCACATTGTTTTAATTCATGCAATTTAACTATTTTATCTATTTTATTTATAGGTGTATGTGATTAACTGGTTGCTAACAACTTATACAAGGTGTCATGAATTAAGGGTGGCGTAGGGGGGATAGGAGTTGTGTACACATTTTACTGTGACGCAAGTTAGCTGAACTATTGTTTCATCAAAACAATAATAAAGGTCGGAATATTCCTGGGCGGGTATGGGAAGGCCGGTTGTTAATTACTTAAAATTAATAAACATATATCTTTATTGACTAGAAACCACCATGTCATATGTACGCAGCGCAATTTTGAGAAATATCTATTCCTTGTTTACCATAAACTAGTTCCTGAACAGTTTTAATGGATCATTCTTTATTCTTTAAATTAAAAGAAAATCTGGACATTGACTTCCCAATCCCATGGATATATGACTTGATAAAGAATGACCCCAATGCGTGACAGTAAAATGTAACCCTACCTAACATCTTTTACACCTTAGCGACTTAGACAAATGTATTTTAATGATCTTTTATTGAATTGTTTCCTCAAAAAAAGTATTCTTTTTATTTCCTAAAAAAATCAGTTTGAAGTTGATCAACCATTATTACCTGCACACTCACAGTGCACATTTATCATACTTTATTTATGAAAAGAAACACAAATATGAAATACCTTTAATTTAAATTTTTTTTAATATTTTGACTTCAAACTTCGTCTTCTCAATCTTTTTTCCCTCATCATAAATATTATATTCATATAAATAATTTATTTAATAAGTATGCCTAAGCTACAATCTATCTAGTGAGTTTAATTTCAATAACGTATCATTTATACTTAGGGATATATTTTAAAGTATTATTTTCGAAGATTTGGGAAAAAAATAAAATCGACATCAAGTGGCTAGTTGGCCCTCTCTTTTTAATAATCTTTCCCCAAAAATTCATTAATTTCCCCAACATTCCTAACACTATTAGGGAAAATAAAATTAATTTTCAATCGGNTACTATAATATAGTCCTACACTAGGCTATGAGCTCTATAATATAGTCCTACTATAATATAGTCCTACACTAGGCTATGAGCTCTATAATATAGTCCTACTATAATATAGTCCTACACTAGGCTATGAGCTCTATAATATAGTCCTACTATAATATAGTCCTACACTAGGCTATGAGCTCTATAATATAGTCCTACTATAATATAGTCCTACACTAGGCTATGAGCTCTATAATATAGTCCTACTATAATATAGTCCTACACTAGGCTATGAGCTCTATAATATAGTCCTACTATAATATAGTCCTACTAGGCTATGAGCTCTATATAGGAGTCATATTTTAAAAGTCATTAAATTCCAATGGTTGCTTAACTCGCTGTATATACAGGTCAACATTATTTCTTCCTTGAATAGTAACTGCGTTTTGCCACAAACTTAAATTTTCTAATCCCTATATCTTTGCAACCAGATGCATGGTGTAAATATCAAAGGTCTACTACGTTAGGTTGCAAAGACATAGAAATAAAAAAGTTGGGTTGCAAATACATAGGAATAAAAAAGTCAGGTTGCAAAGACTAAAAAAGTTAGGTTGTAAAGACATAGGAATAAAAAAGTTAGGTTGCAAATACAAAGAGATAAAAAAAAGTTAGGTTGCAAAGACATAGGAATAAAAAGGTCGGGTTGCAAAGACATAGGAATAAAAAAAAATAAGAGTTTGCGGCAAAACTCAGTTAAAATTTCAAGTTTGATTTGATTTTCAATTTAGTGAGAGCAATGTGCAAACATGTGATTTAGCTTTTCTTAGCATCATTTGGAATACAGTTTAGGTTTTGTGTGCACAGGTGTTATACAGGGTGTCCCAATATACATGGGAACTGAGTGACGAATTAGAGGTCGTCTTTGTTGGGAATTAGAATTGTAATACCTGATTATAATAATATTATTTTGTCTGCAATGTTACGAAAACGGTAAATTGCTGTAAATATGTGTCTGTAATGTCTCTGCAAGATGAACAGTGAACAGTGAAGACGGACAAGTTTACTCTGTTTGTATACAGTAATTTTCTTGTTTTACTAAGTACAACCGTATGCAGTCAAAACATAAACAAACAAATTGTAAACATAGCAAACCAAAATGTTACGGATTACAGCTTTCTCAGTAGGTATCACGATACGAAATCAAAGAAATATTTCAAAAGACGATATCGAAATCGTCACTGAATTCCTATTTTTATTGGGACACCCTGTGAATGAATAATATTGGTAAAATATCATTCAAGTTTTTTAAAAGGGACAATTTTTATCTGAAAAAGTTCAACTTTAGTATTATTCTTAAAATAAAAGTAACACCCTTGTTATTGCCATGGATTAATCTATTTACATGGTTGCTCTCCTAACTGTGCATTGCGTACACTGTACACTACATTGCGTACTGTACAGCTGTACAGTGAACAGTGTACAGTACACAGGGTGACCTGACCACTATACCTTGACACCATCAAGTATTCTCATTAATCTATCTTCTCCGAAACCATATAAAACCTAGTTTTTAATATTAGAAAAAAATTGTTTTACGAAAATCTACAGAAGTTGATTAGTCTTATTCTTAGCTTGAGCTGAAAGACACGAAAAAAAAAAAACTTCATTACAAGTACATAATTGACATTGAATTTGATTTTTAACTTAGAAAATGTAGAACATATATTGCTTCAAAGCCTAGCCCTGTAAAACTGGATCTGACGGTGTAAACTTTTGATTGTTCTAACTCTCAATTTAATCCAGTAGATTTTACAGTTTAAATATCAAAGTTCTCTTCAGGCTTAAGAAGAGAGTTAGAAAATAAAAGTTGAAGCTTCTTTGTTCCCAGCAATTTCAATTTAATTGAATGATATGGTTTAGCAGTGTAAAACCTACCTGTTTTCCTTCAGAACCAAGATTAATTGCTAGAACGGTTTGTAGTTGGGTTTGGGCAGGGATTTTACCATCCTGAAACCAGTGGTCATAACTTTTGTATTGTTAATATGTGTATAAAGCACTTAATCCCACTGCAGTTCAATTTAGGTCGTCTGCTACAGAAACCCCTGTCTTGTAAATCATATATGTATTATCTTTTGGAGGATTTTTCGTGAATCCCCGTAATTGAAGTTTGCATAAGTGTCACTGGAAATTACGTTTACAGTCCATTTAAACCCTTCAATTAATAAATTAGTTTCAAGGTTAGAAAAAGGTCTGAGCTCGGAACTTTTGAAGTGTAAATTCTATCCGAATAGACGGATAAAGTTGTTCAATTTGAGATGGTCCGAGGATCGATGTAACCAAAGATAGATCTGCTGAAAACATCAACCAATTCCAATGAGAGACTGAGAAAATGCATGTCCAGCTGGTGTTCACGGATTAAGCTCTAATTCGAGTAAATTCAAAAGTTTAAGCTGCGGATATCAAGTTCAGGCGTCTTCAATTAGCGTTTAATTTTCTATTCAAAGTTTTACCTCATCGATTGGAGCTGGTAGTTTCAAGAAACCACTATTTACCTCATCAACTGGAGCTGGTAGTTTCAAGAAACCACTATTTACCTCATCAACTGGAGCTGGTAGTTTCAAGAAACCACTATTTACCTCATCAACTGGAGCTGGTAGTTTCAAGAAACCATTATTTACCTCATCGACTGGAGCTGGTAGTTTCAAGAAACCACTATTTACCTCATCAACTGGAGCTGGTAGTTTCAAGAAACCACTATTTACCTCATCAACTGGAGCTGGTAGTTTCAAGAAACCACTATTTACCTCATCAACTGGAGCTGGTAGTTTCAAGAAACCACTATTCTTTTGATTTGTTTCATAATTCTTCAACTCTAACAAAAGGTTCTGCTTCCTAATAAAAAAAGGTAGAAACAGTTCTTTTTTACATATGTTATGGACCTTTAATAATTTGAAAGAAGATTTCCGTAGTAGGATACAAACCGATTATAAGTTTATATGTATTAATAGATACAGATTACAAATGTATAGGCTGAATTTGAAAGAAGATTTCCGTAGTGGAATACAAACCGATATTACTAGTTTATATATATTAATAGATACAGATTATAAATGAAAAAGGTTGAATTTATTCTTTTAAATAAATATAAGATAAGACTGGGTAAAATTAGTACAGTCTTCAACACAAACTTATCAGGATTATGCCAAATACTCCTTAAAAATCAAGATAGGCAGATTAAAACCTTTTTAAAACTACAAACTGATTTTAAGTTTTAATAATTCTAATTATATCGTTTCCAATGCAGGTGGATTACGCACAATTGCGAGTCTTGGAATTCATCGCAATTCGAGCACAATTCCGCATAATTCCACAGAATTCCTCATAATTCCGCGCAATTCCGCGCAATTCCGCGCAATTCCGCACAATTCTGCACAATTTTGCGCAACGGAATTTCGGTTGGAAATCCCAGTTGTGTATAATCCTGTCTAAACTAACCTAGAGGATAATTCTCTAATGGTTTCCTGTTCAACATTTAGGTTCATCAGATTCTTCTTAGTTTCAGGAGGAGCAGGTAGATATCCTCGCACTAATATAATATTAAATATTAATTATATAAAGGGACTCTTCAACATTTAGGTTCAGGAGGTGCAGGTAGATATCCTCCAACTAATATAAAGGGACTGTTCAACATTTAGGTTCAGGAGGGGCAGGTAGATATCCTCCAACTAATATAATATTAAATATTAATTATATAAAGAGACTGTTCAACATTTAGGTTCATCAGATTCTTCTTGGTTTCAGGAGGACCCTCTAGACAAAGATGTCAATGCCCGATTCAAAATACCTTAAAATCTTTGTCTGCAGATCAAGTATGAGTTAGATAACAATGTTTAAAATTTTATTTTTAATTGTGGGTTCTACACAAAAGCGACGTGTGCATTTCTAATGCCGGAAAACATATAGGGATGATCAGAATTAAACACTTATTGGGTTTTTGGGACATAACTGTATTTTTTGAAGAGAATGATAATTCCCGATTCCCAAAGGTACAAATTTATCTAATATGATGTGGGACACCCTGTGATTAATTTAATAATAAGCAGACGAATTCTGGATCAGAAAATAAGAAAGTATTAATTTCAAAACTTTGTCCCACCTTCGCCATCTGTTGATGAAACGATCAACTCCATCTTGCCATCTTGCCTGTAATCCCCCTGGGTTAGACCAGCTATGGAGGCACCCATATTATCCTGGTTAAATGAATTGACATACATTGAGACACATAGAACTGTGGAATAGGAGGTAGAGTGAGAATTAAGTTTTGAAACACTGCAATTGTGCTTTATGTGTGCACGTGCAGATCCATTTTTATTAATATGTTGATTTTTAAGCTTCTAGTAACATTGTTTGCTTTGTAACAATATCAAATATACATGAGGAGATTAAATGATGCCGTCTTCCTATTCCAAAGTTGTATGGGGTTCACTGTAGTTTTAACACATTCATTAAGTAATAATTAGACATGGAAAGGTAGAAAATCTATTCATTTTGGATAAAAATCAAATCATCTTTCGAGTATTAGAAACTTCATTTTTATTAATTGCATTTTAGTAGTCAATTTTAGTCCGTTATAGTCAAGTTCATTCCTTCAAATTCAAGTAGATAGATATATAGATAGATAGATAACGTGTATTGCTAAAATACATGTATCTGTGTACAGAACGAGTTCACAATTACAAATATTGATGATTATATTAACAGTACAAGTATAAAGCAATTAGGTGGAAAATAGCTTTTGGCTGTTTTGATTATTTTTTCCACCTAATTTCAATAATGATAACAACACATTTCAATTAAATAGATTTAAGAAGAACTTTTAGAGATCAGAGTCTAAAACTAAAGAACGAAAAGTTTTGACTTAAATTTTAAGTTCACTTCACTAAATGTCACTTCTGACTTAACTTAAACTGAACTTTAACCGTGAGGTTAAATATTTAACTCGCCAAAATCGACGAGTTAAAATTTAATCACAGGGTTAAAATCTTGAAATCCCGCAATCCCTATTTGTCTATTCAGCGGTAAGCACGGCATTCAAATTAATTAGGATATTTTTAAAAGTAAAAACCTTGATTTAATAAATTTCACGTTTTAGATTATTTAATGTTTCGATTTAAACCCAAAATACGGTTGTAACTGGAAATATGTTTTGTTTTCCGTTACGTAAATATTTTAAAATTTAAAAAACAGCTGATACCGATAGTTACGTAAAAATTCTCCGTAAATCCTTTTCTCTGATTGGTTCAGATTTTTCCCGGGAAATTCAAATTTAAAAAGGAAAAGGTTTGATATTTAAGTAGCTACTCATTATTTTACAGAACTTTTAACCTCGAACTTAAAATTCGCGCATTCTTAAGTTTTAGACTCTGGTAAAACAAGCAATACAAAGAAAGTCCCAGAAAATCTAGTCTCTGCAGTATTAGTCTCAAGCTTAAAAATTGTTATCTATCTATCAATCAATCTAATAATAAGTGTAAACCTACCTTAAAAACAACTTCCCCACTTTTATCATTTCTTGCGTCAAGTTTCCCTGGAAAATGATATATGAGTACATTACTTGGTTAACAAACTAATACTAAAAGTGGTAACCAGGACTAAGATAAAAACAACTAAAAAGTAAGATAAAGGACAAATAAAACATGGTGTTAACAATTACATGATTACATACATATATTAGGACTAATTCCAATGCTAATTCATAACAAAGACGATATTGAATTCGTCACTGAATTCCCATGTTTTTTGGGACACCCTGTATAATATAAATAAGAAATAAGGTATAGGACAATTAAATGAAAAGGAAGTAAGAAAGAAGTTTGATGACAAATAAGAAAGGAAGTATAGGACAACTGAGAAAGGAAGCATAATACCAAAAAAGAACTTGAAGTATAATGACAATTAAAAAAAGAAGTAAAATGACACATAAGAAAGGAATTATGTTTTTCCTGAACTCCAGCCAGTAATCATCTCTTTTACCTGATTTCCAGCCAGTAATCATCTCTTTTACCTGAACTTTAGCCAGTAATCATTTCTTTTACCTGAACTAAAGTCAGTAACCATCTCTTTTACCTGAACTCCAGCCAGTAATCATCTCTTTTACCTGAACTCCAACCAGTAATTATCTCTTTTACCTTAACTCCAGCCAGTAATCATCTCTTTTACCTGAACTCCAGCCAGTAATCATTCCTTTTGCCTAAACTTCACCCAGTAATCATCTCTTTTACCTAAACTTCAGCCAATAATCATTTCTTTTACCTGAACTTCACCCAGTAATCATCTCTTTTACCTGAACTCCAGCCATTAATCATCTCTTTTACCTGAACTCCAGCCAGTAATCATCTCTTTTACCTGATTTCCAGCCAGTAATCATCTCTTTTACCTGAACTTTAGCCAGTAATCATTTCTTTTACCTGAACTAAAGTCAGTAACCATCTCTTTTACCTGAACTCCAGCCAGTAATCATCTCTTTTACCTGAACTCCAACCAGTAATTATCTCTTTTACCTTAACTCCAGCCAGTAATCATCTCTTTTACCTGAACTCCAGCCAGTAATCATTCCTTTTGCCTAAACTTCACCCAGTAATCATCTCTTTTACCTAAACTTCAGCCAATAATCATTTCTTTTACCTGAACTTCACCCAGTAATCATCTCTTTTACCTGAACTCCAGCCATTAATCATCTCTTTTACCTAAACTTCAGCCAGTAATCATTTCTTTAACCTGAACTTCACCCAGTAATCCTCTCTATTACCTGAACTTCACCCAGTAATCATCTCATTTACCTGAACTCCAGCCAGTAATCATCTCTTTTACCTGAACTCCAGCCAATAATCATCTCTTTTACCTGAACTCCAGCCAGTAATCATCTCTTTTACCTGAACTCAAGCTAGTAATCATTTCTTTTACCTGAACTCCAGCCAGTAATCATTTCTTTTACCTGAACTCCAGTCAGTTATCATCTCTTTTACCTGAACTCCAGTCAATTATCATCTCTTTTACCTGGACTCCAGCCAGTAATCATTTCATTTATTTGAACTCCAGCCAGTAATCATTTCTTTTGCCTGAACTTCACCCAGTAATCATTTCTTTTACTTAAACTTCAGCCAGTAATCATTTCTTTAACCTGAACTTCACCCAGTAATCATCTCTTTAACCTGAACTCCAGCCAGTAATCATCTCTTTTACCTGAACTCCAGCCAGTTATCATTTCTTTTACCTGAACTCCAGCCAGTAATCATTTCTTTTACCTGAACTCCAGCCAGTAATCATACATCTTGTAGTTTTCTCATAGACGCCCACTGTACCATTGTTTACCTTTATTCTCCACCATCTCGTAGTTTTCTCATAGACGCCCACTGTACCATTTGCTAATGCATATCCAAACCTGGAATTTATTTATATCAATTCATGGCAGGAAGATAAATCAGAAAAATGAAAAATTTGAAACAATGAAGATTTAAACCCTCGAGGGATTCAATGATAAACCCAACAACAACTCATAAACCTAAGGGCTTTTGTAAAGAACTGGTTCTAACATGGACCTGCAATTTTAAGTTTTTAGATTAGCACCATTCATTGAAAATGGTGGCATATAAAAAAAAATTATTTTTATAAAAGAATGGTATTTTTCTATTTCAAGTTTTGCAATTAAGTTTATTTGCTGGCTTTGACAATATAAACTGTTTCAATGAAATGCTGTACAATTGTGTAGGGTTTATGCTGATACAAGGTAACAGATCAAACATGAAAGATGAGATGTGTCTGAAAGATTGTTGAACAAAGGGGATGGTGGAGTTGGCACATTTGATGTAGAGTTTCTTTAATAAAAAGTTTACAGAATAAGATATTCGTGACAGAAATTGTATTTTCTAGTTTAGAATATTTTAATTTCCTTTCAACAATATTTTTGATGACACCTACAGGCTACAGAGGGACGCATAAACCTGTGGACAACGAAGACGATATTTAACTAATATTTTGTGTATTCAATTTTTGCAAAAACACAGAATTTTATTGGAAAATCATAACTTACGTATAACAGCTTGTTTTCTTATTTCACAGTTGTATGGATCTATTTAAAACAGTGAAGTGTTCTGTAATATTCGAACCTTCCGTCCTGAATAGGAGTGAGGGCAGTGACAGCTTCTGTCTCCGTAATCTCAGTGATAATCTCGTCTTCCGCAAACACTCTGATCTCAAAGTCCTCAGAGCCAACAATGAGTTCATTTTTTCCATTCTACAACATTAAAATACAGTGATAACCAGAAAACAACGTAATTTGAAGACGACATTATAGCAATACTTAAATGTATTTGATGTTGTTATAAAGGAAACAGTTTTACAAGACACTTATTAAATCATTAATTTTGTGAAATGGGTCTGAACACTTCCTGTGTCTCATGCTCATTGGACTTTTTAAAGTTATAAATTGATTCTAAAAGTCATCTTTCTATTCCAGAGTTGTCTGGTTATCACTTAACAATGGGACCCATTTAACTGGGAAATAGGAAGACGACTGTTAGAGTCAAATTATGATTTTAAAAAAACTTTTATTGAAACCAAAAATTTGAAAAAACAATAAATTTTTAATGAGAAAACAGTGAAATCTATTAATTTAAGAAAACAAAAATCATTAAAGGGTTTCTTTGTAAATAAAGCGTCATTTGACATACCCTTTGAGAAAATATCTAAGATTAAAGGAGTTATTAGACAGATTAACTCACCTTACTATAATCAGCTAATATAAGAGAGGTAACATTATCTCCTGTAACAGTCCAGAACGGATCGTTTCCTTCAAAATCAAATCCCTAAATATTTCAAGTCAAAATCAATGCGAAAATTAAAAATAAATTTTAGTGTAAAGCAAATCACAGGTTGAGTGCATATGATTCAAATTTGTCCCCCCCTCCCCCATCCAATCCTATCCAATTTTATCCAATTTTATTTTGATTTCCTTACCTAAACTCGACAACGCAAAAGACATAATTATATAAACTAATTACAGTAATTAGTGAATAGTGCTAAATAATCCACAAAAGGATGTAATTTGAAATCAAAGTTGTTGCGCGCCGGAGGTACTAATTTTTTACTTAAATTTTTAGAATGCTGACACTGGAGTTGTTCATCAATTTTAATTTTATGAAGTTGTGCGCGAAATAGCAAAAAATGTTAGTATGTTTGTTTCCAGCATTTATCAGCCAATGGGGAAAGTTAATGATTACTTGTAAAAAGCCGTGTAATCTTTATCGAAAATTTGAAATAAAGAGGTCAAGAGCTTCTGCCTTTCTCTTCCTTCCATTCCCGTTTCCTCCTTTCCCTTCCTTACCTTCCCCTACCCTATCTTCTTCTTTCCCACTCAACCTTTCCTTTTCTACTTCTCCGCCTTTCCTCCTTTCATTCATACCAATGAGTTAGAATTGGTGGTTATTTTGGAGAGGGCTTAGCCAAGGTTTCCACAGAATGATGTTTATTTATTTATTTATTTATTTAGTCTTATTCTTATTTATTTATTCTTATTCTTATTTATCTATTCTTATTCGTATTATTTATTTATTTATTTATTTACAGCATAAATATTTCAAAATAACAAGTGAATATGTGAATAACGATAATAAATAACGAAAGCTAAATCAATTTTTTAAATCTTAATAATATTTGACCTTAAAGTTTTCCCAAGTATACCTGGAGAGAACAGTTTCCTCCGACTACCGCAAGAGGTCTCTCCCTGTCTCCGATATATCCAATCTGAACAGCATTAGCTCCATCCGCCACTTCCTTGTAGAAGATATCACTGTTGTTCTCAACATCATACGCCTAGAAACAAATAAAAAAGGTATATTCACATAAATCCTTTTGTTTGCTAATTTCTTAAATGTTTTTCTTCTTTACCTTTTTAACCGAAATGGTTAAATATTTTGTATTTGTTATGGTTATTATCATCCAACATAGTAATAGCAGAAGCTAAGGTGTACAAAAAAAACAGAAAATGCCACAAATTAACAAGACCTTTTGGCAATTTTTCGAAGTTGCACAAATATTAAATAACTAATCTTTCTCGGCATAGATTATTCAAAGTTCAGATTTTTCCTATCTTGGAAAAACATTCAGTGACGTGTGGTGTCAAATTCAAATTTTATCAAACAGTACCAAAATATAATATTACCAGTAGGTTTGTTGGACTGCCAACTAGAAGAATATCTCTATTCAAGGTAGGGTTAAACCCAAAATATAACATTACCAGTAGGTTTGTTGGACTGCCAACTAGAAGAATATCTCTATTCAAGGTAGGGTTAAACAGTACCAAAATATTACATTACCAGTAGGTTTGTTGGACTGCCAACTAGAAGAATATCTCTATTCAAGGTAGGGTTAAACAGTACCAAAATATAATATTACCAGTAGGTTTGTTGGACTGCCAACTAGAAGAATATCTCTATTCAAGGTAGGGTTGAGTCGACCTGCGGCTAGCGAGAGAATTCGCTGGTTTATATTCAACATTGATAAATCCTGGTTCGCCTAAAAAACGAAGTATTTATATGTATTTACATGAGTTACCCTTCTCACAATTCCCTTAATTACAGTGAGACCCATAAACCTGTGGAATAGAGAGCTAGATGATCTTAGATTTAGACCTTAAAAAATCCAATGGCCACGAAGCACAGTAATTCTGTATTGTCCAAGAACAACTATAATAAATTGAATTTCATGCAATTGGTGAAACATTTCCTTCATTTCCTTCATTAAATACACGATAAGATTGCTTAAATATAGTTTTCCTATTCCACAGTTTTATGAGTCTATACTGTAGTTCTGAGAAGAAGAGGATAAAGGATATATAATGTATACCACTGAAAACTAGTTATTTATTGAGTAATACACTTCAAAAAATTATCCTTAAATATTTTCAATAAAATTTATATTTCTCAACTTAAAGGTGCTTTTTATTTCAGGAGGGGCATACCCAATTCACAACTGTACCCTTCAAACCTTTATCTGCTCAATAATATGGCCTGAAAAGTGTTCTATTCTGTTTCCTTGTTTTGTTTTTGTTTCCAGAAGAAATCCCGAAGTTAAAAAAAAATCAACTTTTACAAATAAAAACATGGATAAAGCTTTCATTCTTGATTAGCCAATGATTTCAAGGATACCTTTGTAAACCTTTGTATATCGGACGAACGAAGTTCTTTTGAAAAGGGAAAACAAAAAAATTGAGTTTTTGCAACAAACTCACATTTTCTAACCCCTATAGCTTCGCAAACTGATGGTGTAAACCTTTGATATTTCAAACTTAGACTATTTGATCTAACAGAAATAATAGTTTGAAATATCAAAGGTCTAGGAGAATGGGTTGCTAAGTTATAGGAATTAGAAAGTCAGAGTTTGTTGCAAATACTCATTTCCTTTACTGAAAAACTTATTTACCTGGTTCGCGACCAAGCGTCCAGCCTGTAAACCTAGTCTTTGATGTGGATTATGAATCAGAACCTAAAACATTTTATTTTTCATTTTAGGCGCAGGATGATGGTAGATAGATAAGGCAAATATGCAATTTTGCAAGCGCATAACTCAGACTGTTCTCTTTTTGTATCAAAATGAGAACCAAATTTCGGTGTGCTATAAGATAAACCTTTTAACTTTTCCTATTATTCTGTTTTGATTCAAGTGCATTGTTGAAACCCATCTTTGAAAGATCCAGATTTGAAACCTAAATAAAAAATAACCAATGCTATCAGATTTAAAGATTAAAAAGAGAATCGCTTGGCAGAGTGGTTGGGAAGGTAGAGCAATTTGTCATTTTTCTCCAATACCTTCCTACCCTACCTTCTTAGCTGTAGTAGCTGCTGTAAGACAAGATTGCTCCGTTTTATATTATTATATTCTCCAATACCTTCCTATACCCTACCTTCTCAGCTGTAGTAGCTGCTGAAAGACAAGATTGCTCTGTATTATATTATATTCTCCAATACCTTCCTACCTTACCTTCTCAGCTGTAGGAGCTGTTGAAAGATAAGATTGCTCTGTATTATATTAATATATTCTCTAATACCTTCCTACCCTACCTTCTCAGCTGTAGTAGCTGCTGTAAGACAAGATTGCTCTGTATTATATTAATATATTCTCCAATACTTTCCTACCCTACCTTCTCAGCTGTAGTGGCTGCTGAAAGACGATTCCTCTGTATTTTATCAATATATTCTCCGATACCTTCCTAACCTACCTTCTCAGCTGTAGTAGCTGCTGAAAGAAAAGATTGCTCTGTATTATATTAATATATTCTCCAATACCTTCCTACCCTACCTTCTCAGCTGTAGTGGCTGCTGAAAGACGATTCCTCTGTATTTTATCATTATATTCTCCGATACCTTCCTAACCTACCTTCTCAGCTGTAGTAGCTGCTGAAAGACAAGATTGCTCTGTATTATATTAATATATTCTCCAATACCTTCCTACCCTACCTTCTCAGCTGTAGTAGCTGCTGAAAGACAAGATTGCTCTGTATTATATTAATATATTCTCCGATACCTTCCTAACCTACCTTCTCAGCTGTAGTAGCTGCTGTTAGACAAGATTGCTCTGTATTATATTATTATATTCTCCAATACCTTCTTAGCAGTAGTAGCTGCTGTAAGACAAGATTGCTCTGTATTATATTAATATATTCTCCAATACCTTCTTAGCTGTAGTAGCTGCTGTAAGACAAGATTGCTCTGTATTATATTTTATTCTCCAATACCTTCCTACCCTACCTTCTCAGCTGTAGGAGCTGGTGTAAGACAAGATTGCTCCGTTTTATATTAATATATTCTCCAATACCTTCCTACCCTACCTTCTCAGCTGTAGTAGCTGCTGTAAGACAAGGATGCTCTCCATCATATTCTCCAATACCTTCCCACCCTACCTTCTCAGCTGTAGTAGCTGCTGTAAGACAAGGATGCTCTCCATCATATTCTCCAATACAGACCCTTCCCACCAACATCTTCTGATTGAAGTTCAAGGTAAACACCGGGAGCAACATTTTATCTGAAATATTGATAATCTTGCAATGCAAAAATTTAGCCCATTTTTCTTCAGCTATAAAATTAACATTATTGGGTTTCTTCCAATTTGCCAATTTGTGGTATTTTTTGCGCGTTATTGAGCTAAACTTCAAACATTTTCATAATTATAAACCGATTGCAAGAACAGTACCTTATAATCAGACCCTGTCGACATAATTATTGCATAGCCATTCACAATTCCTCGAAATAGTTAGAAACTCGTAATTGTGTTCTACTTTATTTCTCACATATTTTCAAAATAAAAGTTTTTCTTTTTTCTAAAAAATTTACAAGGCGCCTGCAAATTTGTTCAGAAGAGAACCATTATTTCGGTATCTACAGAGTGTCCCAAAAAACATGGAAATTGAGAAACGGCTTGAATTTCATCTCTGATTTCCAATGATTGAAAAAGGACATAAAGGGCATAAAAAAGGCTGAAAGTCTTGTGAGGTTTCCAAAATGTGGTCTACCTTCTTGTATCTTTAAAATTGACGGAGATAATATGGATTTTATCAGTTTTCGGTGTTAAAATGTTTTTATTGTGATACTACAAAAATATATTTACGAAATAATCCCGCATGGAACCAAGACGATAAAGAAGTCGTCATTTAATTCCCATGTTTATTGGGACACCCTGTACGTGAATATCTTTTCCTTGTCAAATTATGTGTGTAAAAAATTTATTTGAATGCATATAGTAGTTATAATTGAAGACAATCCAAAGAAAGCTTCGCCGCAGAATTTCTTCTATAGTTCTAAAAGTATAATTGGCTCTCTTTTTGATAATTCTTATATTATGTTTTCATCTTCAGAACTAAGTCTGAAAAAGAACAGCATTTTAATCTTTGAACTTCAGTGTTTGATTGAAGTGCAATTTTTTATTTTAGATCAGTTTCATGACGGAAATTGATCTTTCTTGAAGCTCCTAAGATATAACAAACGAAAAAATTGGGAAATTTTGGACACACACTTCTTAAAACATACAATTAATCAATCTATTCTACTCCACACATTAGTATAATTGTGGGATCCGGATCAAGGAATCAAAAATGACCGAAGATCCGGATCCTAAGCACTGAGCCTAAGGATATCTCGCAAATGTTAACACTGTTAGTAATTTCTAAATTTCTAAACTACCAACAGTTATCATTAAGGGTTCTTCATACTTGTCTGCAATCAAGAATATTCAATTTCTGATTTAAAAATTAATCAAATTTTGAACTTCTTTAAAAATTTGTACGTATTAATGATAAACTTTGGTGTTGACGTTCTAAGGACTGGAGAATTGTAATTTTAAGTAACCTTCCAGGAAAAAAATGGGCACTCACGATTCACAATAGCAATGTTCAAACCGTTATCTAATATGTATCCCGATTCACAAAAGTACGTTTACACCGTTATCTAATCAACATCCTGATTCACAATAGCGACGTTTACACCGTTATCTAATCAACATCCTGATTCACAATAGTAACGTTTACACCGTTATCTAATCAACATCCCGATTCACAATAGTAACGTTTAAACCGTTGTCTAATCAACATCCCGATTCACAATAGCAGCGTTTAAACCGTTGTCTAGTCAACATCCCGATTCACAATAGCAGCGTTTAAACCGTTGTCTAATCAACATCCTGATTTACAATAGTAACGTTTAAACTGTTCTCTAATCAACATCCCAATTCACAATAGTAACGTTTAAACCTTTCTCTAATCAACATCCTGATTCACAATAGTAACATTTAAACAGTTATCTAATCAACATCCTGATTCACAATATTAACATTTAAACTGTTATCTAATCAACATCTCGATTCACAATAGCAACGTTTAAACCATTATTTAATCAACATCCCGATTCACAATAGTAACATTTAAACAGTTATCTAATCAAATCCTGATTCATAATAGTAACGTTTCAACCGTTCTCTAATCAACATCCCTATTCACAATAGTAACGTTTAAACTGTTATCTAATCAACATCCCGATTCATAATAGTAACGTTTACACCGTTAAACATCCTGATTCACAATAGTAATGTTTAAACTGTTATCTAATATGTATCCCGATTCATAATAGTAACGTTTAAACCGTTCTCTAATCAACATCCCTATTCACAATAGTAACGTTTAAACTGTTATCTAATCAATATCCCGCTTCATAATAGTAACGTTTAAACTGTTATCTAATCAACATCCCTATTCACAATAGTAACGTTTAAACTGTTATCTAATCAACATCCTGCTTCATAATAGTAACGTTTACACCGTTATCTAATCAACACCCTGATTCACAATTGTAACGTTTAAACTGTTCTCTAATCAACATCCCTATTCATAATAGTAACGTTTAAACCGTTCTCTAATCAACATCCTGATTCACAATAGTAATGTTTAAACTGTTATCTAATCAACATTCCGATTCATAATAGTAACGTTTACATTGTTATCTTATTAACATCCCGATTCATAATAGTAACGTTTACGCCATTATCTAATCAACATCCCGATTCATAATAGCAACGTTTAAACCGTTCTCTAATCAACATCCTGATTCACAATAGTAACGTTTAAACTGTTCTCTAATCAACATCCTGATTCACAATAGTAACGTTTAAACTGTTCTCAAATCAACATCCCTATCCACAATAGTAACGTTTAAACAGTTATCTAATCAACATCCTGATTCACAATAGTAACATTTAAACTGTTATCTAATCAACATTCCGATTCATAATAGTAACGTTTACACCGTAATCTAATCAACATCCCGATTCATAATAGTAACGTTTAAACCGTTCTCTAATCAACATCCTGATTCACAATAGTAATGTTTAAACTGTTATCTAATCAACATCCCGATTCATAATAGTAACGTTTACTCCATTATCTAATCAACATCCCGATTCATAATAGCAACGTTTAAACCGTTCTCTAATTAACATCCTGATTCACAATAGTAACGTTTAAACCGTTCTCTAATCAACATCCCTATTCACAATAGTAACGTTTAAACTGTTATCTAATCAACATCCCACTTCATAATAGTAACGTTTACACCGTTATCAATCATTATCCCGATTCATAATAGTAACGTTTAAACCGTTCTCTAATCAACATCCTGATTCACAATAGTAACGTTTAAACTGTTCTCTAATCAACATCCCTATTCACAATAGTAACGTTTAAACAGTTATCTAATCAACATCCTGATTCACAATAGTAACGTTTAAACTGTTATCTAATCAACATCCTGATTCATAATAGTAACGTTTACACCGTTATCTAATCAACATCCCGATTCATAATAGTAACGTTTAAACCGTTCTCTAATCAACATCCTGATTCACAATAGTAACGTTTAAACTGTTATCTAATCAACATCCCGATTCATAATAGTAACGTTTACACCGTTATCTAATCAACATCCTGATTCACAATAGTAACGTTTCAACTGTTCTCTTATCAACATCCTATTTACAATAGTAACATTTAAACAGTTATCTAATTAACAATGTGAACGTATTTTTCTAGCTTATCCTAGTATTTACTTATGAATGTCTTAAAATGTCGTAAAACAGCAACTCGTAAATATTCTTTCGAGAGCAGCGCCATACATGGACGGGCAAAGGGAAACAAGGAAAAGAGAAACTGCGGACGCGCAGAGGGAGAAAAAAGATGAACATTTGAAATTATTGACTATGTCTCGTACCATTTTAATTTACAAAAATTATAAAAAATTTATTATAATAACACCGTCAAAAAACTTATGTAAATTGCCCCTAATGATTCTGAAGCAGCAGTGCGCACTGCCTTTTTATTTTGACAGAACAGAAAGAACCTTGTTTAAAAGAATCCATTTTTTGGCTTGAAAAGCGTCCGACAATAAATTTCTCCGTAATTCGGCAGCAAAATGCGAAGGCCACTTAAGTAGAGAAACAAAAATAAAAAAATAATCCTTTGTTACCAGGGAATAGGAATAAAGGGAAAGGAAATGGCGATGGCGCTGGTCTGGCATTAGAAAGCCAGTCGCACTGCTTTGCAGACAAGTTCGGTAAACTTTACACCACTCTTCTGTTACAGACACACACTCATGACTACAGTCAAGAAAATTGCAGAACAATGTTGTCAATTATAATTAAACTTGAATAACGAGTAGTTTATTGTAAACTTTAATCAAATTATATTATTTGCAATGCAAATTTGGCTTAAAGTGTTGACTTAAATATATAAATAATATATTACATGTATATTAAACTTATTTTTAAGTAAACAAATGTACTCTCCTAGACTGTACAAATACCGAGATTCTTATGTTCTGTATTTACCTACAGTACAAACCTTTGGTTCGGTAAATAAATAAACAGGGAGCCGATTGAAATTCCGACTACATTGACTGTTCAATCTGCTATTTCACACTACCCAATACTAAAATCTGAATAAAACTAAGTTAATTTTACTTTTTTTAAACTATTACATAAAGTGAAAGTATCCAGGATTCAATCCTGTAAAAAAGACAGTTAACTCGAAAAAAAAAAATCCCGATCGTTAGTGCTATGGTCGGCACCTCCCGGCTCATCATGGCTAACAACTGGCTCAATCAAAGAGACATGATCATCCTAGGGTTTACGTGTCTCGTACTTCATATGGAATATAAAATCTGAGAAAACCCAAAATTCAAAATAATAAAATATATAAAAAAACAATAATAAACAAAACAAATTTGTAAAAATTAAGTTATAAATGAGCCAGTGCTTTGCCATGAAACACCTGGAAACTCAATATTTATCAAATTTTCGATTTCTTCCAGATGGATAAAAAATACATCCATGACTGGTTGAAACAGATCCACCTATACAAATTGCATTAGTTTTTTTTTTCAAAGTCCAAAAAAGTGTATTTATTTAGTTTTGGATTGATAGTAAAAATAGTTCAAATCGATTAAATATTTTGTCGTTAAAAAATGTTTATAATCATTTAAGAATTAACATATAAACCAATAATTATGTCAATAACTATATAATTTAGCTTGTTTACTTTAAAGCGTGTACGTAATTTTTGCGATTTCAAGCAAATTTTACGCGAACTTTTGTTTACGGTGGATCCCCTAATTAGAAGTTCAGAGAGTGAACACTGGACAGTGAGTTTTGGACATTCCGGCGCTCTGGAAGACTTTTTAGCAAGATCCCATTAAATAAAATACTAACCTGCGTCAGCTGAGAATGTTGTTCAGATGACATCAAAATTATTTTTGTGCAAACATAAAAAAGTGCAAAAAATTCACATTACAGAGTGCTTTAAATAAAACAACAAATAATAGTGTCACATATAATTTATTTGTTCGTTCATAAAAATACCATGCGAATTTTAAAACTAAAAATGACTAAGTGCATTCTAGAACTGAAATTGTTTATAATAGAAATGAAATCTCAAAGTTGCGGTTGAATAAAAACTGTGGTTCAGATTTACAGTTACAGAATACTGTACTGTACTGCACCGTACTGCACCTACCTCTGTCGAACCTTCCTTCCCTTCAAAGATTTAGCAGTTAGTTCCTGTTTATTGATTTTACTTGATAGATCATCCGAGGGTTTTCTCGTGGTTTCAACATCGGATACTTTTTCTTTTTCCGATTTATTTCCAGATTCTTCGGATTTTTTTCTAGAAGATTGCTTGTTAGAATTCTTGACGTTTGTTGCCTTCTTATCCGATGTTTTCCCTTTTTCAACTTTTCCCGACGATGATTCTCTTTCGGATGCAATCATTGCATTTTCTTTTCCAGACTTTTTTCCGGCTGAAGATTTCTTTCCTGACAAATCCTTGGGGTTGGACTTCTTTCGATTTACAGATTTGGTTTGCTTGACAGGTTCAGGTTCAAGATCATCCATCTCACCTTCATCATCTTCTACATCAGCAGCTGTATCAACCCCACCCTCTTCAGGTTCATCTTCATCTTCATCTTCATTCTCATCCTCATCCAGACTCCTCATAACCTGGCAAAAGTTTAAAAATTAACTTTAATTATAATCAAATTAGGGTTTTTGAATTTAATTCATTTCAATGTTTTACCTTAAATCTTTTTATGCTAGAAGCTGAAACCTTCTTGGTAAGTTTTCTTTTCTTTCCAATAATCATGGGCATCCAGATAGACTGAAATAAAATCAGTTAAATTGAGAGTTCCGAATTGTCCAGTGTCCAGTGTCCAGTGTCCAGTGTACAGTGTCCAGTGTCCAGTGTCCAGTGTCCAGTGTCCAGTGTCCAGTGNCAAGTGTCAAGTGTCAAGTGTCAAGTGTCAAGTGTCAAGTGTCAAGTGTCAAGTGTCAAGTGTCCAGTGTCCAGTGTCCAGTGTCCAGTGTCAAGTGTCAAGTGTCAAGTGTCAAGTGTCAAGTGTCAAGTGTCCAGTGTCCAGTGTCCAGTGTCCAGTGTCCAGTGTCCAGTGTCCAGTGTCATGATCTCTGATTTCAGAGTTTAGAGAGTTCAGAGTTGAGTGCTCAGAGTGTTTAGTTCCTACCGGATCAGGTGTGAGAATGCCAGCTTTACGGACGGGTATAAGCGCCTTGAAACGATCCCAATGTTGATCCCTAAGATCCCTGTAGAGGTATGTGTTATCTGGATCCTCGGAGAGTGGTTTAACCAACCCTGTCTCACCCATTACCTGCATTCAAAACATCAAAATATCATCAAAATCATAAATTTTACTAATTTAAGCGTTTGCACATTTAAATACAAAACATTTTATTAATTTGACATTGCATAAATAAGAGTTTTCATATACACTTTTCAAATAGGAGACATTTTATAGACAGGACATTTCATAAATTTCATAGATTTGACATTTCGTGGACGAAGTAGATCTCTGAAATGTCTTTACTCTTTATATATGAAATGAAATGCCCAAGCAGATCAGATCAGACTTCTTCAGCTCAGAATTCTTCAACAAAAAAAAACCAAACACACAACATCAAACACACAAAATATGAGAAGCAGAATAGTAAACAGCAAATAAGAAAAAGTATAGATAAAGTAAAGAATTGACCTGTCTTAGATCACTGAGTCGGATAACCTTATCCCCTCTCTCTCTGGCCAGCTGGGATGCACGAACTCGAACCATCTTGTTAAATGCCTCACTAGCCTCCATCAGTGGCTAAAATACAATATTTTCTTTACTCATATTAACACTTAAAGGGACTGTAAGCGCAAATTTGAATGACCGTCCATTGAAAGATGGCAATGCCAGATTTACAACTGCACCCTTGAAACCTTAATCTGATCAATAATGTGCAAATACCGTCATTTTTCTGACTCAGTGTTTATTTGTGCAAGTTTATCCATTACTTCTGATAAACAAGAAATGCGCAAGTCATTTGTGCAGAGAAATCGAAAATTAAAATAAACAGTTTAAAAAAACAAAAACATTGACATCTAATTAAACTTGAACAGTAAAAGCTTTTAAGGGTACCGTTGTAAATCGGGCATTGTCATTTGTCATCTTTGCATGGAGGGTCAATTAAAATTGGGCTTATTTTTTGTTTATGCATTATACAATCCGAAGTTCGTACTGCCACAGTATTCTATCTTGCAAAATGTTTAATCCTTCTTTAACGAGGAAAACTTAAACTTTGGCTAGATAGAAGCTACACTAAAAAAAAGTCATTCAGTATTTAACCAATAAAAAATTAAAAGGCCTGTTTTTCCATTTCGGGATCAAAAGCCACAGAAAAAAGTTGATTGATTATGTAAAATTCGGACATCAAAAGTCTAGCTTTTTCAACCTTTTTGATCATTTATTTTCCCCAATTCAGCAAGTGACCCCCCCCCCCCCTTCTCTCTGAAAAGACAGAGAGGTTGGGGAATAATTTTTGTAGTTTCAGGGAAATATGAAAAATAGTGTTTAAAGGGAGTGAACTGAGTATGCAGTGTTGTGGAAAACTTCTTTAGGATTCATTTAGAGATCAAAAAACTTTTTAAAGATCTGTAAATTCTGAGTTTGAGCGAAAATTGGACGTTCAAAACTCCTACTTTGGGGGTGGATACGTTTTCAGAATTGTTTTTTAGATTATTAAATAATGACGACAAAAAATGTAAACAAAATTCTACAGTAAACTAATTAGTTGTTTAGGAACCGGTTGAGAAAATAAAAATTAATCTTTTCATCGAAAATAAGTAATCTTGTTCAATTATTAGTTTCTATTTTCTCATTGTTCTAGTTTCTCATTATTCAAAAAGATTTTCTGCAGATTTTCTGGAATAATTATTGAAAAGACGACATTTGAAGAATTTGAAGAAATCTGCGAACAAATTCAAAGAAAACAAGAAATTCAATATAATGATGAAAACGAAATAATTTATTCTAACATTGATTTATTGACAAATTTCTTTTGAGATATGTTCCCAACCATTAGATTACTGTATGATTTTTACTTTATTTTTCGTCGTCGTTATTTAATAATTTAAAAAAAACGATTCTGAAAACGTATCCACCCCCAAAGTAGGAGTTTTGAACGTCGAACTTGCGCTCAAACTCAGGATTTACGGATCTTTAAAAAGTTTTATATGTCTCAAATTAATCCTAAAGAAGTTTTCCACAACACTGCATAATCAGTTCAACTACCTTACATAGCCTGTCTTTTCCCTTTAAAGTTGCAGTCTGTATTTAATATTCATTTCATAACTCAAGGTTATAAATCAAAATCTGAGTTCTTGCCACATACTCTATTTTCTAATCCCTATATCTTTGCAACCCAGCGTCGAATGTCCTCAATGTCGCAGAACTTTGATATACGAAATATAAGAAAGTTTTTGTTTGGCAACTACTCGGTTCCTTTCACATAGATTATCAAGTACAATAGGTGGCAACAGAAATATGGACCAATTATTCAGTATACACGACGTCACAAGTGTCAAATTTAACAAGGAAAACGAAATTCTCTCACTTTAGTTGACATGTTTTCCAAGTTTAATCAAAAAAGGTAAAAACCGAAAAAAAGAAGATATAAGATAACACTTCTTTTACTGTAAAATAAGCACTTTTTTCAAAAATTATTACTAAAATGAATAATTTTGTCGGACATAAAAACTAAATTGACACTTGTGACGTCCGGCCGAATACAACTGTACTGACAGTGTACATGTTCTACGTTGTTATCTATTGTACTAGAATCTATTTGGTTCCTTTGAAGATTGCTGGAAAGGTCTCATGGACAATAGAGGAAAAGGAGTGCAGGGGGGGGGATTATATATAAAAATAAACTAAATGTTTATTACCTCCTCAGCCTCCTTCTTCATTTTATGGTTTGAATGCTTTAGAAACTCAAACTTGTGGAACCGCATAGGATAGATAGATTTTACTCCAGGTTTAGGTTTAGGCTTGGTAGGTTTAGATTTAACAGGTTTAGGAGCAGGTTCAGGAGTATTAAGGAAGGTTAAACCTGTCAAAATTTGCCTACTAGTTGAGGGACCCAGATACCTAAATTTAAAAATTAAATAATTTTCCTAAAAGTCGAGGAAAAATTGAGGCGAAGACATGTTAGCTTCCCCTGTGACGGCTCAAGATTTAGAAAAAGTCATTCTGCAATATCTGCATTTGAAGTAGAATTTATAGTTTAACACTTATCTACCCCCCCCCCCCCTTCTGATGTCAGTTAATTAATAGTTTTAAACAACAACAACAACAAGGCATACAAAGTTTGCGCCGGCCGTTCAACCACGTTAAATATTTTGCATAAGTCTGTAACAAAAGCCTTTATAAATGTTTTAGCACACCTCCCCCAACAACAAACAGATATGTATAAAGAATGATATTGTGCATGCAGAGGTAAAGGTGGAATGTTTTTATGTTCTAAAAGAAATACCTTTCCAGAGTAGCTTGTCTCATCTCCTTCTTTTCTCTCCCAATCAGGAATACTCGGTTCCCCTTCGTACTCTTAGCTCTATTATCCTAAAATTTTCAACAATTAGAGGGAAAACAAAAAATATTGGACCGATCGGTTAAACCGTTTTCTAGATACTATCAAATAGACAAACAGACAACCAAAAAAGTCAATAAACACATGCTAAACACAAGGGTTATTAGACACTAGCAGATATTTATTAAAAAAATGATTTTTAAGAGTTAGAGAGGAAAACAAACAAATTAGGCCCGGTCGGTTAATCCGTTTTTACGCTTTTTGGATACTATTAACAGACACCTAGGCTCTAGCAAAGTCTATAAATACATGTTAAATCCAAAGGTTATTAAAAAAGTTAAAGGGGGGTTCTGTAATGTGTAAACCATACTGTACACACTACACAAGCAGTAAAGACAAATACGTGTTCAGGGATGTTAATTAAATAAATACTATTAAAAGAAGTAAATAGCTATTATGCCTTATGACTCAGTCCCTGTATTTAAAAAGATCATATTTGTTAATTTGTTACGCAGACAATATGGAAGAGTTTTAAAAAGTTTAAAAATGATTGGATAATTAGCGACGTAAAATTTGGATATAAAGTGTGGGGGGGGGGGGATTTTCGTACAGGCTGCGTTTGGTTCTAATAATTAAGATAGAAGGCTGAAATATTGCATGCAGCCTCTAATAGTGGTCATCTACATGGATTACGAAGAAAATTGGAGATCGAAGGTAATTGACTCATTTTGACCTCCATGAACTCAGAAAATACGGGAAAATACCACTTTTTTCACTTTAAATCAATAATTTTCAGTTACCAGACGTGTTTTCATATTGTTGCTACCACACAAGTCAAAACTGATATAAACACATATATCCGACCTCCATTTTGATCTCCCTTCGATAATGACCTCCAATAATGGTCAAATATTTAATCAATTTCTGGTGTTCTGATTCCATTCTGAAACCCATTTTTGACCTCAGATGATCTTAGTTGCATTTGGATGGGCGGATTTTTGGTAACTAATAATTTGGTAACTCGACAATTTGGTAATTAACAATTTGGTAACCAACAATTTGGTAATTTGAAAATTTGGTAACTTACCAATCTGGTAACTTACCAATTTGGTAACTAATAATTTGGTAACCTGACAATTTGGTAACTAACAATTCGGTAACCTCACAAGTTGGTTCGGTTAGGTTAAGATGGTTACTGGGTCGAGTACAGCAGCTAGGACAAGGTAGGGGACCGAAAACTGTAGTCATATTTATCCAAAGAAATACAATGATATCCTATATGTAGGGTTAGACATGGTTAAGACAATTTCTGGGCCGAGCGCTGCGACTAGGACAGGCTAGGAGGCCGAGCGCTGTGGCCGTATTTATCAAAAATAATATAATGATATCCGATATGTGGGGCTAGGTTAGATTAAGACAATTTAAGACAAGTGGAAAAAAAGACGAAATTTGTTAAAAAAATACATAAATAAGTTGAAAACGACGTTCGTTTCACAAAACATTAGTCCACAGAAAATAAATATTAAACAATGATTATGAAAAGTAAGTTTCAATTATACAAATTGTTAGTTACCAAATTGTCAGTTACCAAAATGTTGGTTACCATATTGTCGGTTACAAAATTGTAAAATAACCAAATTGTCAAGTTAGCAAATTGTTGGTTACCAATTTTTTTACCAAATTAACGGGTAACCAAATTATTAGTTACCAAAAATCCGCCCATCGGCATTTGACCTCTGGACAGTGCTTAGGATCCGCAAGATTTTCGGCTTCCTGGATCCGGATCCGGAACCGCAAAAATATGCGGATCCACGGATCCGGATCCAAGGAGTAAAATATCAACTAAAAACTGCAAAAAAAAACTTTTTTACTCCTAAAAGCCAAATCTGAACTTTTGAAAAAAGAGAGATTATAAAATTTACTCATTTCTGAATGGTTCATCAAGTTTTAGGATAAAAATAAGCGAAAAAATGAAACAAAAAATTTGTAAATTTTTTTTTGTTAGAAAAATTCAGTAAATCTTAAAGAAGTGACCCGGATCCGGATCCATTTTTTTCCAGTGCGGATCCAGGATCAGGATCCGGATCCGCATCAAAATTAAATGGATCCTAAGCACTGCCTCTGGAGATCAATGTCAAAATATGAAGTCAATGAAAATAAGTCACATGAGGTACTTGACAGTTTTGTTGACTCAATCACTTTTCTACACAAAACGACTTGTTCCCTCCAGATCTTCAGGTAGATGGGGTTTGTGATCTTCTCATCCAACCTCTGCTTGATGAATTTTGATTGCCCAAATGTTTTCTATTGGCACATTAGGACTGGGTTTTGTGTAGAAAAATGATTGAGGTAATCCCTAGGCGCCGGTCAACTGTCATCGTCAAGGTAGGAGAACAAGTATACATAACAAACTATCAAAACAGAGTTTGATGTTGATGAAACTTTAACCAAAGTAGTACATATATATAACCTTATACCAATAAACTGTTTTATTCATGTAAACATCGTGGTTCATTATAAGAATATATTCAAAAGTCCTGAAAAAAATTTTACTCACCCTTTATTAGCATTGAAAATTTTGCCTATAAAACAATATCAACATTTATTCTTTTTACCACCAATTTTAAACGAAAAATGCGCAACATTTTTAGGTTTCAAATTTCGAAGAAAAATTGGCGACTTGAAAAGCAAAAGCTAGACAAGGTGCGCGAAGTCCACTAAAAGCCTAGTAACAAATAATTACCTCTGAATCTAGAATCCTGGAAAGATTTCTCCTGGATCCCTCCTGCAATTGTGTCCGAGAACCATAAATCATGTCTGGAGATATGTTTCCTACTTGTTGGTGATCAACAATTTCTTCAGCAGAATACTCTTCATCATCGTTAGCTGACTGAGCTTGCTCTGGGGGTTCAATTATGTCATTATCAGCATCAAGATCTTTGTCCTGTTCATACTCATCTTCTTCTTTGCCTTCTGAGACAGCAGAACTATCGTTAAGATCTTTTTCTTCTTCGACCTCTTCCTCAATAGCGTCATGATCATCTTCCTTCTCTTCAGCATCAACTTCCTCATCTGCTTCCTCTAGATCTTTGTCCTGATCTTCTACTTCCTGTTCATCCTCACCTTCTTCTTCGCCTTCTGACACAGCAAAACTATCTTTAAGATCTTCTTCTTCTTCGACCTCTTCCTCTTCCTCAATAGCGTCATGATCATCTTCCTTCTCATCAGCATCAACTTCCTCGTCTGCTTCCTCTAGTTCTCCCTGATTCTGGTGCTCGAGTTCTGATGATCTATCTGAGAATTGATCCACCTCCTCTTCGTTGTTTAAACTGTGCCCTGGGAGAATCTGAAGACCATTAGTTGACAAGTTCACCATATCATTCATAACCTCAGGCATCTTTAACACAAGTGGAATTTAACAAAGGTAAATTGTCCGGTCAAAATATGTTAACATATATTAGCACTCACATTTTTCACACTTATCACATGGAAAATTTCTGCTTTAGAGAAAAAAGTATTTTAAGAATAACATTTCTTTTAAATAAAATATAATATAAAATGAAGTGTAACAGTATTGTGAATTCTTGAAAATTTCAGAGTTGGAAACTTATTGAAAAGTTTTTTTTCATCTTAAATAATAGATAATTAATAAATTACCTGTCTATCTTGAAGTTCAAAAGGCTTTTTAGTTAGATTAAGGGTTCCGGATTTGTTCTGATCTTCTTTCGGAGTTTCTCCATCTTCGTTATACCTTGCATCTTCTTCTATTCCATTAGGATTGTTACTAGTGTTGGATCTATTCAGTGGAATTTTACCAGTAGCAAGAATATCACTAAAATACAAACTAAATAAGAATCATGTAAAATGAAGTTAAATAAAGTTTGCTATTTTGAAATATTCATGTACACTACAGTTTGTAAGATTTAAAGTTTAATCATTTAATGTACCATATTGCTTTTCATAAGCAAAGATGTTCCGTAATTTAATTTAGATTTTACAATTTAATGATGTTCTCAGTGGTGTATTGTATATTCTCCCCCTGCCCCCTGTTCTCAGTGGTGTATTGTATATTCTCCCCCTGCCCCCTGTTCTCAGTGGTGTATTGTATATTCTCCCCCTACCCCCTGTTCTCAGTGGTGTATTGTATATTCTCCCCCTGCCCCCTGTTCTCAGTGGTGTATTGTATATTCTCCCCCTGCCCCCTGTTCTCAGTGGTGTATTGTATATTCTCCCCCTACCCCCTGTTCTCAGTGGTGTATTGTATATTCTCTCCCTGCCCCCTGTTCTCAGTGGTGTATTGTATATTCTCCCCCTGCCCCCTGTTCTCAGTGAAGTATTGTATATTCTCCCCCTGCCCCCTGTTCTCAGTGGTGTATTGTATATTCTCCCCCTGCCCCCTGTTCTCAGTGGTGTATTGCAAATAGGTTGTCAAGTACAATAGATGGCAACACAGAATGCGTACACTTTCATTACAGCTGATTAAACGTCATAAGTGTCAACACGAATTTTCTGTCTGACAAAACTATAAATAAAAGTGATATTGTTAGACTAAAGTGCTTATCTTTTAGTGAAATTAGTGCAATTTTATGTGTTCTTTATTTCTGTTTTTACACTTTTTCATTTAACGTTCTATAGACTTANCCCCTGCCCCCTGTTCTCAGTGGTGTATTGTATATTCTCCCCCTGCCCCCTGTTCTCAGTGGTGTATTGTATATTCTCCCCCTGCCCCCTGTTCTCAGTGGTGTATTGTATATTCTCCCCCTGCCCCCTGTTCTCAGTGGTGTATTGTATATTCTCCCCCTGCCCCCTGTTCTCAGTGGTGTATTGTATATTCTCCCCCTGCCCCCTGTTCTCAGTGGTGTATTGTATATTCTCCCCCTGCCCCCTGTTCTCAGTGGTGTATTGTATATTCTCCCCCTGCCCCCTGTTCTCAGTGGTGTATTGTATATTCTCCCCCTGCCCCCTGTTCTCAGTGGTGTATTGTATATTCTCCCCCTGCCCCCTGTTCTCAGTGGTGTATTGTATATTCTCCCCCTGCCCCCTGTTCTCAGTGGTGTATTGTATATTCTCCCCCTGCCCCCTGTTCTGAAGTTGATTTTTCTTTCCTGTGTTGTTAACGGGGGGAACCTTTCTGTACACTTAACTATCCTTTAAACCAGAGATAAGAGAGTTACAGAGATCGATTATAAGATAAAATAAGCGATATTTTCCACAGCAAGTTCTATTATGTACAAGTACTGTAGACGGCCAATCAGCAAACATCTATATTCAAGGGATATTTAAGAATCCTTTGGATACGAAACACAAAATCTTCAAAAAAAAGACTGAATTCATAAGTGTTATGTTTCATGTTTAAAATTGGAGTATTTCCTTAAAAATTGTAAAACTTAACCCCTGAATGGGTAATGGTATTATATTCAACAAGTGGCCGTGAGATGGCACTCTAAAAACCTATCGTAAAAACGTAGCATGTCGTGCCGGGTCAACTTAGGCCTACGTAGTACGTAGCCCACTCTGTGAAAGGAGATAAGCAATCTGTGTAGTCAGTGGTTTAAACAATAGGTTGAAAATAAACTAATTATGTAAAATGGGTCAGTGTGTACTGTGTACACTGCAAAATTGCTCTGTTTCATGTTCATTGGACTATTTGAATACATAACTTGAATCTTTCAGTCATATTTATATTCCACTCCCACTGTATAGTATATAAACCGATACCTGATCAACTCCTTCTGTCTTCTGACCAACTGTATCTCCTTGTCCACCATCTCCTCCACCGACCCATCCACCCCCTGGCTTTCCTCCATCCTCTTCCTCATCATCTGCTTCTCCAACTCTTCAAGCTTACAGTACTGATCCTGAACAAACAAACAATTAATAACGAAACGTACTCCGGTAAATTGAATCAGTGTTTAAATATAAATTAGCATTGTCCTAGGAGACTGATTTTTTGCATGCGAACTAAAAATTATGTATATTATATGCATTTTTTGATTTTGAACGGATCTGAGAAAAAGTGCGAAGGCGCGCGCGCTTCTTGTGAAAAATATACGACTTTTTTACCAATAAATCAATCTTAACTTCATTAATTGCACTTGAACATTTTTTCTGACATTTGAAGTAAATAAGCACTCAACACATTCACCTCCAAAGCCTTAAATGTCCGCGCGCACTCGCGCAAAAAAAGAAAATATCTTTGAATACATGTGTTATAAGTTTGGCCTCAGTTAGAATAAAATTAGCATGAGATACATCAAATAACTGTATTATTAAATCATCAAACTAAGTGCGCAAAATAATAAACGAAAAAAAATGAAACCAACAACTTGAAAAATAATATAAAATTTTTTGATCATGAATGTTATGAAACAATGCAATTCTTAGATTTTTAAAAGATAAATAAACTTAGAAGTTTCAAATCAAAAGCATTGACACTTTTGTGGATAAAATTTAATAAAAATGTTTAACTCCTCCCAAATAAAAACGATTTTAACAAAATAGAGTAAAAGCAAAAAACAAGGATATTGATTACTGACAACCCTTCTCAAATTCTAAACTTTGTAGACCTTATATCTTTGTGAACTGGCGTGGTAGACCTTTTATATTTTAAATTATGAATCCTGCAAAACAATATGTGAAATACTTATTATAAGGTTTATACCACCAAGTTGCAAACATATCGGGATTATAAAATTAGAGTTTGAGAGGAAAATTTTGTAGCAAAGAATAAGAATACAGCATAGAACTGAAGTTTATAAAACACAAAAGCTTACTTTAAACTCCTGAATGTCTTCTTCTGCTAAAAGCGCTAAACTCTCTAGTTCCCTGAAATAATAAATATTCAAACTTTTAGATCACGAAAGACGACATTTATTTATTGAATGATATGAGATATACATGTATTTACATAGATAAAGATAGATTGCGCATAAGACGACATTTTTCATCTTGAAATATATAAATGTACAGAGATGTTTTATAGATATTCCTGTTATATAGATAAACTAGGTCGGTTGTGGACATTGGCTGTTCTTATGTCATGAGTACTTGTGGTGTACATGAGTTCTGTAGAAAGAAATTTAAGTTAGTTTAGTCCTTCTCATGTCCTTCTTCAGTTCTCGTCAATATGATATATTGCTCAGTGAAATATTGTTGTTCAAATAGTTCCGAGTTATTTTACACTCTATTATGAAATCCATTAAAACACCTAACTACCCCGCTTATCATTGAAGTCCACTTTGACCCCTAGAAGTATGAGTTCGCGGACTGTACAATTCTTGGTGATTTTGCGTACATAAGCTATATATGTTTATTCATTTATCTATGCGTATTTATTATTTATGAATATATGACATATTTGGCTTGTTTGCCTGTCTGTATCCAATATACATGTTAACACGTCAGAACTGATTGGGTCCCATATTTTTGATATTAACTAAAATAAAAACGCTAGGATTTATAAAATTTGATTTCTTAACAGAAAATCCGCGAAAAAGCTGAATTTATTATTAGTGAGTGGCTTGAAGTAAACGTATAGATATGTATTAATAACACATAAGACAATAAGAACACGATTAGAAGTCGACACTGAAACATAACAAATGTACCTTGAGCTAAGAGACTCTAGGTTAAGGTTTGTTGTCTCTAGGATGTTAGATGACTGTTTGCTACTTTTTCCCCCAGACACTCGTGTAGCACTACTGCTACTTCCAGGAAAAGGAGTAGCATTTTTACTCCCGCTATTAGGGCCTGCAGATAACAATAAGTTGAGTCTTAATCAATATTTACTAGATCTTAAATTAGTCGAATCTGAAGTCAGAACATTGGTGTTGTGAATTTCAGAATCAAACGTTCATCTCCATCATTGTAACACTAAGGATTAATCTAAATCCTCTTCGATATCCAATATCATTTATCTACAGTATTTATCTTAAAATTTAAAAGTGATTACATTGGATATCGAGATCAATATTCAAGATCAACAATATCCACACAAAATTTCCGCCCTCTGTTAGTTTTTACTTAATATTAAAAACGATTAGATGAATTGGGCTTTAAGTTTGAAAAAGATGTATCCAAGATAAGGTTCAAAAAGGAAATATTTACATATTCAGCAAAATGCAGTCAGAATTAATGCGTAAATAAATCCACAACAGTTTTTTCAGGAGACCTTATTGAAGAATGGAAAAAAAGCTAACTAACAAAGAGGTAATTGGCCTCACTTGATCAGTCTAGTTCAAGGAAAAACTTGTAAGGTTTAGGTAAAATTTACCAATTAGAGGCGAGGAGAAGCTCTAGCTTTATACAGGTTTAAAATTTGAATATTTTTGTTCTAGTTTTATTAAGACGTGAACAATCCCTCAAATAAAAATAAAATATAACTACAGGGTGTCCCATTCATTCGGATGATTATTAAACAGCTATTACTCTTGTCAGTTTTAGGAATGTTTACAATCTGTCAAAATATTTGAGAACTGTGATATGAATCCAGTTATAAAACGAAACATTTATGTATAAAGATAAGAATTTCATAAAATAACTGTTACCAAGAGTATGTTTATGTTTTTAACCATGACAAAGAAATTGTCCGAATTAATTGCACACCCTGTAAAAGTGAACCTGAAGCTGGTGAAGTCTGAGTGCTCCAGACAATAGGTGAGTTACCAGCACTGTGAACAGTCTTCTTAATCTTCACCAGTCCAGGATGATTTAACCCAGGGGTAACCTAGTCAGAAAACATGTTAATATTCACCAGTCCAGGATGCTTTAACCCAGGGGTAACCTAGTCAGAAAACATATTAATATTCACCAGACCAAGATACTTTAACCCAGGGGTAACCTAGTCAGAAAACATGTTAATATTCACCAGACCAAGATACTTTAACCCAGGGGTAACCTAGTCAGAAAACATGTTAATATTCACCACACCAGGATACTTTAACCCAGGGGTAACCTAGTCAGAAAACATGTTAATATTCACCAGATCAGGATGCTTTAACCCAGGGGTAACCTAGTCAGAAAACATGTTAATATTCACCAGAGCAGGATGCTTTAACCCATGGGTAACCATGTCAGAAAACATGTTAATATTCACCAGACCAGGATGCTTTAACCCAGGGGTAACCATGTCAGAAAACATGTTAATATTCACCAGATCAGGATGCTTTAACCCAGGGGTAACCTAGTCAGAAAACATGTTAATATTCACCAGAGCGGGATGCTTTAACCCAGGGGTAACCATGTCAGAAAACATGTTAATATTCACCAGACCAGGATGCTTTAACCCAGGGGTAACCTAGTCAGAAAACATGTTAATATTCACCAGACCAGGATGCTTTAACCCAGGGGTAACCTAATCAGAAAACATGTTAATATTCACCAGTCCAGAATACTTTAACCCAGGGGTAACCATGTCAGAAAACATGTTAATATTCACCAGTTCAGGATACTTTAACCCAGGGGTAAGCTAATCAGAAAACATGTTAATATTCACCAGTTCAGGATGCTTTAACCCAGGTGTAACCTAGTCAGAAAACAATCAAGTGAAAGGGAGGAGTCTTGACCACAATTTTTTTCATTTTAAAAAAATTTATTGGTAAGAAAAATCTATTTTTTGGGGATTTTCCCTTTAAATTTTATTGTGCCTGTACAATGTGCACTTGTTGTCGACATTTTGCTGTACCTGTACACTTGTTGTTGTTGACATTTTGTACAAGTTTCTGAGAAGAACCTGCTCAATTTTCTCCTCCGTCTCATTCAGCGTACTAAATTATTTTAACAAGGTTAAAGGTAATAGCATAGGTTTAAGTGACCCTACATCTACATGCACAAATCAACAATGGCCGATTGAAAGCTTTTTCCTGATCAAGTATGAATTAGATATCCATTATCCATCCATATTTACATTTTTAATACTGATCATTTTCAATAATGGAAAAATGACCTACGCATTCCCAATGAAGAAAAACACAGAAATTATCAGAAATAAAAACTTTAAACCTAGAAAAACGACAATATCTTCTGCATAATTGATCAGATAAAGTTTTCAAGGGCACCGTTGTGAATCAGGCCTTGCCTTCCCGTCCCTTTAAATATTTCCGGTTAATTAAATTGGCATTTAATTGTAAAAAAAACTGAGAGTAAATTGTAAATAAAATTCTAAGAAGTCGTAAAATTTTTACCTCAAGACAATTTCTTGTTTTTTTTGGGTGGGGGGGGAAGAAATTTGAAAATAAAAATAGTGTTATAGCGAAATAGCAAAATTTGTTTCTGTTATTATTTCAAAATGTACGAAAGGCTGACAGAAAGCTCAGCAACAAATAAAACTAGGATTATGCACAGTTTGCCCAGTTAAAATAAGTAAAAATTTGAAAAGATCTTGATTTTGATTTGACAAAATAATTAAGATTAAGGTTGCTTTACAAGTTAATAAACTGATGTTCCTTCATTTACTTTTGAAACGTATAGCTGACGCCTAAATAAAGTTTTTTGTTTTGTTTTTAATCACAGATTAGGATTCTCAATTTTTTTATGGCCCATTTAACAGAAAACGAATTGAAATTGCAAAATGATTTATTTTTTTGAATTTAACGATCTAACTTTGCACTAACCAAATAGTAGGGGTAGTCTGGGTCCCTCCCTCTGCAATCATATCCATATATATCCTTGATTGATACAAACTGTGTACAGCAGGTACTCCCATACTTGACATACGTTTAGCCCGCCTTATAAACTCGGGAGTAGTATAGTCTCCGCCCAACTGCCTCATATGGAAAGGTAGGGCGGGGTTTAAGGATGTGTTCCTCATAGTTTGAGTTTGGGGTAAAATCATCTCCGCTCCGGAGCTCTTGGACATCAAAGCACGTTGTCTGAAACATCACAGAGAGAATGAAAAGTATGAATTAACAAATTTTAGATAGATCTCCACAGCATATTAGATAGACCTGAGGCCGAATAAAAAGAATTTGAGCCGCGGCTTAAATTTGAAACGCGGCTCAAATATGGTTAGTGCCACTTAAGTGTATTCAGTGTTTCAAGATTTAGCCGGCGCTTCATTGAAATTGGTTTTTGGCGGATATAGATAGATCTGAAAGGAATATTAAATAGATCTGAAAGGAATATTAGATAGATCTGAAAGAGATATTAGATAGATCTGAAAGGAATATTAAATAGATCTGAAAGGAATATTAGATAGATCTGAAAGGAATATTAGATAGATCTGAAAGG